GCACAGCCTGCTCTGCCAGGGCGTGCCGATCTTTGAGTTAGACATGGATCAGATAGGTACTGCTTTGCATGCCTTGTATTATAACGCTTCTAGTGTTGCTGGATCTTATTACCCTGCGTACTCTAGTTTAGGTGTTGCACCATTGTGTAGCTTAGCCTCCCCTGTTGCGTCTAGCGTAGGACTGCCTCGTTTGCCTAGCCTGGTCTCTGCACCGGCTTCGTTCCCGGCCTCCGCCGATGCTTCGCTGTCGTTCACTCTCGACTCCGGTGCCTCTACCTGCTTCTTCCGAGACCGCTCCGCGCTCACGCCGCTTGCTACACCTTCTGTTGTCTCTCTCGCTGACCCCTCTGCGGGTCCTGTCGTCGCTCGCAGTTCTACGTCCCTTCCCTATCCAGCAGTTCCCTCGGGCTCACTTTTAGGTCTCCACGTTCCCTCGTTCTCCAGGAACCTGGTTGGTGTTGGCTGTTTCCAGGACCTCGGCGTCACCACCACGTTCCCCGAGCACGAGCGGTTCGCTGTCTGTTCTGAGGCTGTCTCTGGTTCCCCCCTTGCGACATTCCCCCGGGACCCGGTGTCCGGTCTGTTTACCCTCGACATCGCTTCCCCCCCGGTTGGTGCGTCCTCCCAGGTCGCTGCAGCTTGCTCGTGTCGGTCCCTCACTCACCCGTCCATTCTCTGGCACCACCGCCTAGGTCACCCTGCACTCCCACGTCTGCGTCACATGTCCCAGCACGGTCTTGTCTTAGGTCTCCCTGCGTCGCTCCCTGGCCTTCCTCCCTCGACTGTGCCACCGTGCACGCCTTGCGTCGAGGGCCGGCTCCGCCGTTCTCCTCACTCCTCCTCGCTGTGCCCTGCTACTGCCCCCCTTCAGACCCTGCACCTGGACGTTTGGGGCCCTGCCCCCGTCCCCCGACTGCGAGGTGAGTGCTACTTCCTTGTGCTCGTCGACGACTATATGCGCTACACCACGGTGTTTCCCCTGGAGCGGAAGGCCGACGTGCCCGCCGTTCTTCTCTCGTGGGTCGTATCTGCGCGTCTTCACCGCGATCTCCCCGTGTTGTGTCTCTACTCTGACCGTGGCGGCGAGTTCGCCTCTGGTCGGCTTGGACAGTTCTGTCGTGCGGAGGGCATCACCCAATCGTACACCTTGTCGGACTCGCCACAGCAGAATGGGGTTGCTGAGCGCCGCATCGGCTTGGTCATGGAGGTCACCCATACCTCCATGATTCATGCCGATGCCCCCCATTTTCTGTGGCCGTTCGCTGTTCGCTACGCTGCTCACCAGCTTAACATGTGGCCACGCTTCCAGCGGCCGCAGGTTTCGCCGACCCTCCTTTGGACCTGGTCCCCCGGTGATGCGTCTGCGTTCCACGTCTGGGGCTGCCTTGCTCACGTTCGTGCCTCTCGCACGGACAAGCTCACTGCCCGCCGCCGCTTACGTCGACGTAGTTCCCCCGCCTGGGGTGAACGTAGTCGATGGTCGGTGCCTCTTCAAGGTGAAGCGCCCCCCTGGAGAGCCGCCTGTCTTCAAGGCGTGCTACGTGGCCAGAGGTTTCAGTCAGCGCGAGGGGGTTGACTTCTTCTAGACCTTTGCCCCGACCCCGAAGATGACCACTCTTCGGGCGCTGCTACACGTAGCAGCACAGCGCGACTATGAACTTCACTCCCTCGACTTCTCTACTGCCTTTCTTCAAGGCAGCCCACACGAGCAGGTCTACCTGCGCCGACCACAGGGCTTCACTGGTACCTTCCCCCCTGGGACCCAGTGGCTTCTCAGGCGCCCGGTCTACGGCCTGCGTCAGGCTCCTCGCGAGTGGCACGAAACGCTGCGGGCCACGTTAGCAGACCTGCAGTTCTTTCCGTCCTCTGCTGACCCCTCGATGTTTGTGCGTTTCAGCCAGACTCCATTCTACATCCTTGTCTACGTAGACGACCTGGTCTTCGCTACTGCAGACAGGGACGCACTGGCCTCTGTGAAGGCCGAGCTGCTGAAGAGACGCACCTGCACTGACCTTGGAGAGCTGCGTCGTTATCTTGGCCTGCAGATCTCCAGGGACAGAGCAGCGCGCACCATCACTCTGACACAGTCACACTTGGTGCGTCAGGTCCTTCAGAGGTTCGGTCTTCAGTTCTCCTCCGCACAGCCCACACCTCTACCTGTAGACCATGGGCTCTCCGCTCCCGTTCTTGAGGAGCCCGTAGAGCCCAGTGGCCCCTACGCAGAGCTGGTGGGTTGCCTCATGTACCTGATGACTTGCACTCGCCCAGATCTCGCATACCCTCTCAGCATCCTGGCTCGCTTTGTGGCTACAGGCAGACACCGACCTCAGCACTGGTCTGCCGCTAAGAGGGTTTTGCGTTATCTTGCTAGTACATCAGGCATGGGGTTAGTGCTAGGAGGACGCAGGCCAATGGTCCTTACTGGGCACACAGACGCTTCTTGGGCAGACGACTCTGAGACGCTCAGGTTGTCAGAGGGCTACTGTTTTAGCCTTGGTTCGGGTGCTATCTCTTGGAGATCCACTCGCTCGTCGTCTGTGGCTCAGTCTAGCTGTGAGGCTGAGATCTACGCTGGTGCCATGGCGGCACAGGAGCTCCGCTGGCTTACCTTCTTGCTCACAGACTTAGGTGAGCGGCCTAGCTCTGCCCCGGTCCTGTACGCTGGCAACAGGGCCATGATACTCCTGTGTCAGGAGCCTCGGCTTGAGGGCAGAGCGAAGCATATCCAGCTGCGGTACTTCCTCCTGCGCGAGGTACAGCAGCGTCGCCAGGCCCGCGTAGTACACTTGGCCTCAGGTGCCAACACAGCTGATATCTTTAGTAAGGCGTTTGCGCCTAAAGATCATCAGCAGCACTGTGTACAGCTTGGTCTTGTTCCTGTAGCTACTCACCTGTTAGGATCCTGATTGTGTACTCTCTATTATATATGCCTGTCAGACTGGCCTTGTGGCCTTACCTCCAGTTGCTGGACTAGTAGTGCCGGCCTGGCTTGCTTTAGTCTTGTTTGTACCCTTGCTGACTGGTCTCCAGACCCCTGCCTCAGTGGTTGGACTAGTAGTGCCACCCTGAGCTGTTTGCTTCTTGCTTAGCTTCACCCCTTGTCTAGCCTAGGGGGTGTCAACTTATACATATTAGCTGTGTACAAGTTATAGGCTAGACTGGGGTATGCTTCTAGTGAGTACAACCAACTAGTATTTGTTCTAGGTTTCTACTTCAAGTTGATCATTCAGTTCTTACTTTGACACAATGCTAGTGTCGAACTCTTTGGTTAGGACGTGTCATAAGCGTTCACTTTATTACAGTTGAGTAAGGTGCACAAGCGGTTAGCTGAAAATCTCAAGCGGTTGGGTAGGGTTTCGGGGGGAAAACGAACTCTTATGACACGCCCTTAGGTAACAGGCATGTTTTGGAGCTGTGGTGATGCAAACTGATTCTGCAGTTTACACTGATCAAAGACCATGAACCATGCTCAGTATAAGTAGCTTCCTACAACTACCCCCGCAGCAGTTACACAGGGGCTGAGGCAGAAGCAGTGCAAGCAAGAAATTATGTGGCGGAGCCAGAGAGAGTGACTACGAGACGACGGGAGCCACCATGGTCCCTGTGCTCGCACAACCATATGCCCTGCCACGTGCCCAGGTTGAGCCGCCCATCTGTGATGGGGATGCTGTGGAGGGGGGACCGGGTGAGGCAATTACGGAGAGAGAATGGCGTAAAATTGACGGGAAGCGAACGCTTTTCGAAAAAGCTGTTGGAGACAGGAACGAGAGAGTGGTCTGAGTAGTTGGTGTTTGACAGCAATATTGATCATGGAGCAGCACGGCGATAGAAGAGGTGATGGCGGATTGTGGGTGATAAGGAGCTACCATGCAGTTGCTGGTAGCACCTAGCCTAAGAAGGGAGGAAGCAAGCAACAAGGGCCATACTCTCAATCTTCGCAACAGGAGTACAGCACAGCCACACCCAAGATCCCAATGAAGAGCATAATGGGGTAACGTAGAGAGAGTGAGAAGGCAGGGCAGGGAAGGGCAGGGCAGGGCAGGGCAGGGCAGGGCAGGGCACTCACGTGACAGAGCTGCCAAAGAGCGACGCCTTCACGTGTGCTGGCATGTCGTCATAGCCTGACCCGAGAGTGGATGAAGTGGGTTACACAAGGGAGGGGGGGGCAGGGGGGAAGGATCGGACCCAGGGAGGGGGTGAGGATGGGGGAAAGAGGGGAGAAGCCGGGAGGGACTGGTCAGGTAACTGGATTGCTCATCTACTCCTCCAACCTTAACTCCAGATGTCCCTGCACCGTAGGCTCTCCTCTCTTTTGCAGTATGATTGTGTTCGCTGTCAGCCTTGCATAGGATTGGACGGCATGCATCAGTTAAGGAGGCACGGGAAGCAAGGCTCAGTGCAGGCGAGGTGCAGGCGAGGTGCAGGCGAGGTGCAGGCACAGAGAGGCTTGTGCTTTAGGATGGGTGCAAGAGTGCACGAGAGGTGGGGGTGAGGGGGGGGTTGAGGGGTGGGGGTGAGGGGGGGTGAGGGGCTGACCTTCATCCGTGTGGCGCCAAGGAGCCTCGGGGCCCTGCAGGTGAGACAGAGGGGAGGAGAGAGGAGGGCAAGGGCTGGCAAGTGAGGAGGAGGAGGAGAGCAGACCCAGGCAGTGGAGAAAGCGCAGTTGGGTGGTTGAAGGGAGCGAGATGCAAGGAAGGAGAGCAGGGCGAGACGAGGGATGGCGACAGAGCCATGGCATTGCAGGGGATCCACGGCACGGCAAGTAGCACGCAGAGGATGGAGCAGAGAAGACGCTGTGGATGCAGGCAAGCAACAGAGACGGCATGCTTGGTACCAGGAGCGGCTTGACAAAAGCGAGTGAGGGAGTGAGCGCGTGAGCGAGCAAGTGAGGGAGTGACTGAGTGAGGGAGGGAGTGAACGAGAGGGAGCAGAGGAGCAGCGCGAGCGAGCAAGCGAGTGAGCAAGCGAGTGAGCAAGCGAGTGAGTGACCTCTGGGACGTGTGTGGAGAGGTACGTCTCCATGTCGTGGCGCACGTCCCGGTCGCAGTTCTCATTGATGGTCAGCGATGCACTCGTGTGCTGGACTGCAGAGTGGGGGGCGGGGGGATGGGAAAGGGCAGCGAGGGCAATGGGGGCAGGGATGGCAGGGAGGGCGGGGGTCACAGTGGTTGTTGATGATGGTCAGCGATGCACTCGTGTGCTGGACTGCAGATTGGGGGGCGAGGCGTTGGGGGGGGGGGGAGGGCAGGGAGGGCAATGGGGGCAGGGATAGCAAGGACGGCAATGGGGGCCACAGCTCTCGTTGATGGTGGTCAGCGCTGCACTCTTTCGCTGGACTGCAGATTGGGGGGCGGGGGAATGGGAAGGGGAAGGAGGGCAGGGGAAAGTGTGTGTCAGGACAGGAGGAAGGGTGGAAAGAGGGCGAAAGACTTTGGGGGAAGGGAAGGGAAGGGAAGGGAAGGGAAGGGAAGGGATGGGAAGACAGAGGTTCGGGAGATGGGGGAGGGAGGAGAGGGAGAATGGGGAAGGGGAGGAGGCACGAAACAAGGCAGTCTGGGTCTGGGCAGTGCTGCTGCTGCTGCTGCTGCTGCTGCTGCTGCTGCTGCTGCTGCTGCTGCTGCTGCTGCTGCTGCTGCTGCTGCTGCTGCCCTGGTGTGCATGTGCACGTGCGACACCGCTATTCCCCCACAGCAGAATCCCCACATTCCCGCCACTGCCGCCGCCACTGCCACTCACTGAAGATGTGTGCGAGGCCGTATTTGAAGGCAGCAAGCTCCGCCTCTATTTGCTTCACCACCTGATGGGCGAGTGAAGGATAGGGGGGAGGGGACGGGAGGGGACGGGAGGGGAAGGGAGGGGAGGGGAGGAGAGGGGACGGGAGGGGACGGGAGGGGAGGGAAGGGAGGGGACGGGAGGGGACGGGAGGGGACGGGAGGGGACGGGGCAGAGCATGATGCTACTCACTTATGGCGATAGACGCAGAGGACCCCAGAGGAAAAGGTCGAGTCCGAGAAAGAGAGCGAAGAGCGGCGGAATAGGTAGAGAGTTAGAGAGGTAGAGGCAGAGAGAGGGAGCGCTAGAGAGAGCGAAGGGGTATAGGAAAGGAAGCGAGGGGATGCAGGGCGGGCAGTGGGCGAGTGGGCTAGCCCCCAAGCCCGCGAGTGCGCGGCGGCGGCGGTGGTGGTACGTGTGGAGTGACGAGGTGGCAGCCGCGGCTGAAGGCAGGCAGAGCGACGGTCTTCTGCCGCCACAGAGCCATGATGGCGCTCGCGATGCGATGAGATGCGACGCAACGCGACACGACGCGAGCTGTACTGACGACCCACTCGCCGCTGGGCTCGCTGCCGCTAGGAGTAAAGCTGCCGCGCCCGCCACGCCTTCGAGGTGCGGCCAGGGGAATGGAAGATGCGGCGACGGAAGGGTTTCTTGCAGCGCGGGCGGAGGCGGAGAGCGCGCGAGGAGAAGGGGAGCACGAGGAGTGAAGAAGCGGCGGCGCAGGCGCAGAAGCAGTGAAGTCAGTGGAGTCAGTGCTGTGGGATAAAGCGGCAGGAGCCTCGAGGTGTGCTGCTGATGGTGCGAGGGAGTTGGCGGAGGGCTGTGGGTGTTAGTGGTGGTAGGGGCGACGAGGAATCCCACTGGGCGAATGCATTTTCTGATCCGAAGGCGGAAATCCCCGCTGCGAGTGGAACTCGGTATGCGTTACAGAACCTAGACGAATGCGTTTCAATGCCAACAACAACAATATGAACACAGCAACCCAGGACGGAAATCCCCGCTGCTAGGAGAGAGAAAGCCCTCAAAATCACCCAACGGAAAACAGCTGTCGAAGTCACCCCCCCAAACCCCCACCCCGCTACTCGGCATCACCATTCCCCTTGCCCCTCCACTCGTCACGACGTCACCTCGGCTCCTTCCCTCAGCCAGCCAAAACTCCATCCGTGCCCTTCAGCCAGCCACACACTCTTCCATCCCCCTCCCACCCCCTCCCCCCCCCCAATTCCCCCCCCCCCCCCCCCCCCCCCGATCCCCCCGTCTCATTCATGGCCCCTATCGCCGCCATCACAGCATCAGCTGCGCCCACCCCAGCCGTAGTCTCAGCCGCGCTCGCCGCCTTTCGCCGTCACACACACGGACTCGCGCACGCCGCACCGCGCCTTCCCTGCTCCGCATTCCCCTCCTCCTCCAGTTCCGCCTCCGCCTCCGTGCGTCGTTCGGCCTACGGGCCAGCACTCGCAATCGCCGCTGTCCCGTCCGCCCTCTCCGCCTCGTCCGCCGCTGGTAGTACCGCGGCCCTTGCCACGTCCGCGCCGCTCCGAGGCGCGTCGCGAGGCTCCGCTGGTCGTTGCGCCGCAGTCGTCGCCATGTCGTCGGCCGCCGACGCGAGTAGCGGGGGCGGAGGCGGAGCCGGGGGAAGCGCGGAGGCAGCGCCGGAGGGGTATCGAGCGAACGTGGGGGTGTGCGTGGTGAACGGAGAGAACAAGGTGTTCGTCGCCTCGAGGCTCGACATGCCTGGCGCATGGCAGATGCCGCAGGTGCGCTCGAGTGCCGCAATTATGCTCGCACGGCGCAGGCGCATGTGTGGGAATGGCGTGAGTGGCGTCACCTGGGCACTTTGGATTGCACTGGCGCTAACTAATGGGTTTGTCCTGTGCAATGAACCATTCACCCTCCACGCTCCCCACCGCACTCCCTCCCCCTTCCCCCCCCCAGGGCGGCATTGATGCGGGCGAGGACATCCGCACAGCCGCCCTGCGCGAGCTGCGCGAGGAGACGGGCATCTCGTCCGCCGTGCTGCTCGCGGAGGTGGGGGAGGGGAAGGGAGGGGGAGGGAGGGGGGAGAGGGGAAGGGAAGGGGGGGATAGAAGAGGAGAGGAGGGGAGGGTGAGAGAGCGAGAGAAGAGAGGGGAAGGACGGAGGAGGGGGGCGAGGAAAGAAAGATGCTGTTTGGGAGGGGAGGAGGGGGGAAGGAAGGAGGTATGGCATCTGCATTAGGCAGTGGATAAAGACCCACAGGTGACTTTTGAGTCGGCTAAACAATCGCAGTGAATAAGGACCCACTAATTTCAAACTTTCGAGGAATGAGCTATTGCTGGATGAAGGGGGGAATAACTAGTTGCTCGAACCGCCACCTTAGCATCCGCAGCCGTCTCTGCCTCTTCTCCCCCCCACCTCTGCCCTGCTGGGTGACTTGTGAGTCGACTCCAAGTCAAAATTCACCTTGCGGCCCTCTCTGCCTCTCTTCTTCCCCAACCCACCTCTGCCCTGCTCCACCTCTACTCCACCGCCAAAGCACGCTCCTCCTTATCTCCCCCTCCCTCAACTCCACTTGTGTTTCAATTATGTACGATGGTAATGAATAGCAAGCTCGGCGTACGAGCCCGTCAGGACACCACTCGATCACGGCGGCCCCCCATCCCTTCTTCCCCCCACACCACCACCCGCTCCCTATCCCACTGCCTCCGCTCCCCACATGCCCCATGCCCCATGCCCCATGCCCCATGCCCCATGCCCCATGCCCCTCCCTATGTGCAGACTCCCGAGTGGCTGTGCTATGACTTCCCCCCTGCTGTGCGGCAGAAGCTGGCAGTGCAGTGGGGGCGCGAGTGGAAGGGGCAGGCGCAGAAATGGTGCGTGCAGGGATGGGTGTGGTGGAGACAGAGCGAGAAAAAGCGGAGTTAGTGAGGGGGGGAGAGGAGGGTTAGAGGGGGAAGGTGGAAGAAGACGGAGGGATGCCATGCCATGGGCAGTTGTTCTCCATGCAAGTTGCAGCATTGCCCCTATCTTCCTCCCTCTCCCTCTCTTCTCCACCCCTCTTTCCACTGCAACATCTCCCCTAGCCTCTCTTAACTAAACCCAGATCATGTTTCCTGCTGAGGCTTCTGTTGTGCTTGGTTCTTCTTCCTTTGGATTGTTCATCGGTCCCCTGTGCCCTGAAGGTAGGCATGCCTGGGGGCAGCGCAGCGCGCGCTATTTGGCGGTGTTTCACTGCATGGCGCAAACAGCAGGCCTACTGTTGTCATGGCGTGCTCTGCCCACACACCTCAGCACCTGCCACTTACCTGCCCTGCCTCCCCATGCGCCCACCCACCCACACCCTGAATGCTTCCCATGCGTCCATCCCTTCCTTGGGCAGGTTCCTGTTCCGCTTTGTGGGGGAGGAGAGCGAGATCAACCTGGACGGCCAGGGAGGCGAGCCGCCTGAGTTCTCCGAGTATAAGTGGCTGCCGCCCGCTGATGTAGTGGCTGCGGTGAGAAAGGGGGGATGGGGAGGGGGGTGGGGGGTGATTGGAAGGCATGGTGAAGAGTGGATTCTCCCCCGACTGAAGGGGGACGAGGGAGTGTTTGCCATTGTTGGTTCATGGTTGACGCATGGTCAAACTTGGTGTAGGTTTGTTAGAGCAATGAGTGTTCATGGCTCTCCATCCTTCCCTCCCTCCCTCCTTCTCTCCCTCCCTCCTTCTCTCCCTCCCTCCTGCTCTCCCTCCCTCCTTCTCTCCCTCCCTCCTTCTCTCCCTCCCTCCTGCTCTCCCTCCCTCCTTCTCTCCCTCCCTCCTCCTCTCCCTCCCTCCTCTCCCTCCCTCCTCCTCTCCCTCCCTCCTCTCCCTCCCTCCTCTCCCTCCCTCCATCCCAACCTCCCTTCTCTCCCTCCCTCCCTCTCTCCCTCCCTCCATCTCTCCCTCCCTCCATCCCTCCCCTCCCTCTCTATGAAGTCAACATGTAACTCATTTCTTTGTGTGTTACAATTTCAGGCAGTCGAGTTCAAACGGCCTGTCTATGAGGCAGCCATGCGCGTCTTCGAGCCTGTCATAGCCTCGCAATAAACCCCTGCAGCAGTGTAAGGAGCTAGCTCGTATATACAAAGAGTATTGTGTTGTGTATCTTACAAGGTGTCAAAATTATTATTTTTTCATATCCCTGTTCGAATTGTTTCTTCCAATCTGAGTTGAGCAAGTTTTGCTGCCTTTGGTACAGTGCTTTTATCGCGTATGTGCCTTTTTGACACTTCGATCGAAGCTTCTTGCGTGTCGTTGCTGTCTTGTCGCACAGCAGCGCCCATTCTTTCGCTCAAAGTCGATGGAGAATCTGTCGCGAGCGATGCAATGTGCACCTTACACTTCGATGTCGCAGGAGTTCGCATTCACTCGTCAGCAAATAAGAAATCCGCGTCGGCCACACCAGGCAGGGACTCTGTCGCAGATTCACGTGGCTGGCTATGGAGATTGCGAAGCCAGACCAGCCAGAGAGTCCTGTCTCTCGACTCCAGCCTGACCCACTTGACCAGAGGTATTTGGGCGCATGCTGGCGTAATGCGGCGTATGACGGAGGTATTCTCAACTCTTCCGCTTCTCTCCGCCCATCTCGCCTCCTTTCCCTTCGCTCTAGGGATCAGCGATCGAGGATTATTCGTTGAACGTGCCGCGCCGTTCTCCTCACGTACACCGTCTATTCATTTGACGTACTGTCGCAGAGTCGATGTTGCCTCAAAGGGGAAAACTGCTCTTGCCCGCGCTCCGCCGGTCGATACCAGACACGTGGCCGCATCTCCCGCCGCCTGGTCTGTGGGAGTCTCAATCCTCAGCGTTGATCCCTGGAGCGCACCGAAGCGCGATCCGTCATCATTATCGTGACGCCGCGTCTCGTCCTCTGTCAACCGCCCTCAACGCGTTACTTCACCGGGAAGAGGAGGGCGGCTTCCGCAATGGCTGCGGATCCAACGCGCCTATTGAACCAAGGTACCACATAGCGAGCGCGGGCAGCGGAGGCAGTACGGGCAGTGGAGAAATCGCAGATTTTGTTTTTAGCCAGCCCACCGCGCTTACCGCCCTTCACGGCACTAGATCGCCCCAGATCCGGAGCTCCTCTGGCGCCACGTGGCTTCCAGCTGCCCTCCGCGCCGTCAGCCTGCCAGATCTAGATCCCCTGATCTCAGGACCGTCCAAATCAGTAGATCCGCTCTCTCGCCGCTTCACCACCGTCGGATCAGACTCCGCAAGTGCGCGATGGCCGCTGTCGCAATCGCAATCATCGCGGTCCTTGTGGTCCGCAGCAGTCAACGCGAGTCAAGGAGCGCCGTCGGGTGCGGGGAAGGCGGGGAGCGACCGAGGGCAAGAGGCATCAGGTCCCGCCGCCACCGGGGCGTCGGCGGCTGGCGGAAGGAACGCTTCCGCCGATAAACCTGGCGGATCGGAAACCCCCGCGGATGGCGCAGGGGGCTCGGCGGGAGAAGGCGGAGCGGAGGCAGGATCTGGGGATCAAGCAAGCGAAGGGGCGGCGGAGGGGAGCGGCGGAGGGGAGAAGAGATCGTCGCCGTTGGATCGGGCTCGGCAGCTGGTGACGCGCGTGGTGGCGTTCGTGGGGTCCAGGGTGTCATGGCTGGCGCGGTCCGGCCCGGTGGAGAGAGTTAAGAAGGTGAGGGGGGAATGGGGTGGGGGAGTGTGCCCGGGTGTTTTAGGTGGCTCAGAATCTGGCTCAGGGTGGCGTGGCGGGCGCGATCTGGCCCGGTGGATAGAGTGAAGAAGGTGAGGGGGAAACGGGGGAGCGCGGGAGAGAGTATGGGTGGGCGGGAGAGTAGAGATTTTTGTGCATTGGTAACGAAAAGGGCAGCTCGGTTTTGCCGCACACGTGGAATGGTTTCTGGATCAGAGGGTCAAATGCCCCGCAGGCATGATCAGAGAGCGCGCTAGCGGGTCTGGTGAGGACCTGGATCCCTCAACCCTGCCCAACCCAGCTAAACCCTGAACCCCTCTCCCCGGCTGCACCCTTGGAGCAATAAACCGAACCGGCAGTCAGCCATTCTCCCTGTAACCGGTCTTACATCATGCCCATCACGGCCGCTTGCTCCCCGCCTCCACCTCCGTATTAACCCACCCTCCCCCCCCCCCCCCCCCCCCCCACCTCCCCACCCCGCCTTCTTACTTCCTTCCTTGGCTAATCCACACCCCCCCCCCCCCTTCTCCACCCCTTCCCCGCCCCCCCGCCGCCCTTCCCCCGATCAGGCGGTGCTGTTCGTGCGCGAGGAGCTCACCACGCCGCCCGCCAAGCGCCTCGCTGCCAAGCGCAAGGCGGAGGCGGAGGCCATGGCGGCCGCTGCCAAGGCGTTTGAGCCGTCGGATCGCGTGGATCTGACGGTGCTGAAGCGGAAGGTGCCGTGGTGGCGCGCGCGCATAGAGAGCGTGCTGGATAAGGTGCGCCACGGATGGGGGGTGGGGGGGAATGGGGGGAGCTGTGGGGGAGGTGTGGGGGAGGTGTGGGGGAGGTGTGGGGGAGGTGTGGGGGAGGTGTGGGGGAGGTGTGGGGGAGGTGTGGGGGAGGGAGGTGTGGGGGAGGTGTGGGGGAGGTGTGGGGGAGGTGTGGGGGAGGTGTGGGGGAGGTGTGGGGGAGATGTGGGGGAGATGTGGGGGAGATGGGAATGTGGAGGGAATGTCGGCACAGGAAGGGGAGAAGGGAGGTTGTTTATTAGTGCGCTATGTGTTGGGTATGTCAGTGCTTCCTCATATGGGCTTGTGTTGACTTCCAACGCTGCCTCCGCTGCTGCTTCCGCTGCTGCTATTTCTTGGATGTGTGCGCATGCTTGTGTGTGTCTGTTTGCACGTGTGCGTGTGAATGAGCATGTTTGTCGCCCCACCACTCCACCCGCAGGTGAGGGAGCATTGGTTGGTGCAGCGAGTGTACGGCGTGCAGCACCACCCCATCGTCACCAAGAGCAAGGAGGTCAGCTCGGTACCACGCACCCCTCGCTCTCACCCCCTCGCCGCTCCTTCCCCACCCTCACGCCCCAACTCAATCCCCCACTCTCTACCTCGCTTCCAGCTCCTCTCCTATACGTCTCTCGATCATATCATGCCTTGTGTCATCATGCCTTGTGTCATCATGCCTCTTGTCATCATGCCTTGTGTCATCATGCCGTGTCTACAACGAGTGAGCCAAGTAATCACCACTCAAGTGCCACGACCCTCACATGGCAGCGACTCAGAAGCGTTTCTTTGCTTCCCACAACCCCCCCAACCCCCCCATCCCCCCCCACCCTCCGCCTCTCGCTTGTCCCTCCAGGTGGTTGATGACATGAAGGACCGGTGGGAGACGAGCGACAGCCCGGTAGTGCACCGCATCCAAGAGTGAGGCGGGGGGGAGGCAACGCACGGGGCAAGGGGGGGGGGGGGGGAGGGGAGGGGGAAAGGGGGAGGAGGGGGTGTTGGGGAAGGTTGGGGGGTTTGGGAAGTAGGGGAAGGGCAGGGCCAGAATGGAGGGGAGGGCAATGGGAGGAGCGTTTTGGGATGGGCCGGGGGTGTGAGTCAGGAGTGTGGTTTGAGAGGGTTGAGAGGAAAGGGTGGCAGAGTCTGCTTTCGAGTCGGCTTAAAAGCAGAGTTTGGGGATGAGCCGGGGGTGGGAGACAGGAGTGTGTTTTGAGAGGGCTGAGAGGAGCGGGAGGCAGAGAATGCCTGTGTGGCTCCAATCCCAAGTGCTGTGTCCCCCCTCGGTTCCTCCGATCCCCCTCGAACGGTCCTTGGTATTGTTATCACCCTCGGTCTCCGTTTTCCCATCAAGTGTCATGCTGTGTCATGCTGTGTCATGCTGTGTGTCCTATGTTCCCTATGTTCCCTATATTCCCTATGTTCCCTATATTCCCTATGTTCCCTATATTCCGTACATTCCCTAAATTCCCTATGTTTCCTATATTCTCTATGTTTCCTACATTCCCTATATTCCCTATGTTCCCTATATTCCCTATATTCCCTATGTTCCCTATATTCCGTATATTCCCTATGTTCCCTATATTCCCTATGTTCCCTATATTCCCTATATTCCCTATGTTTCCTATATTCCCTATATTCCCTATGTTCCCTATATTCCCTATGTTCCCTGATTCCCTGTATTCCTTATGTTTCCTATATTCCCTATGTTTCCTATATTCCCTATATTCCCTATGTTCCCTATATTCCCTATGTTCCCTATATTCCGTATATTCCCTATATTCCCTATGTTCCCTATATTCCCTATGTTCCCTGATTCCCTATATTCCTTATGTTTCCTATATTCCCTATGTTTCCTATATTCCCTATATTCCCTATGTTCCCTATATTCCCTATGTTCCCTATATTCCGTATATTCCCTATATTCCCTATGTTCCCTATATTCCCTATGTTTCCTATATTCCCTATGTTTCCTATATTCCCTATATTCCCTATATTCCCTATGTTCCCTAATTCCCTATATTCCCTATATTCCCTATGTTCCCTATATTCCGTATATTCCCTGTGGTCCCTCTGTGGTGTCCCTGTGGTGTCTCTGTGTGCCGCCAGTTTGAACGACTCCATCTTTGGGGAGACGGCCACAGCCATGGCAGTCAAGGAGATCCGACGCAGAGACCCGTAAGCCATGCTGTGCCCTGCTGTGCCGTGCCATGCCGTGCCGTGCTGTGCCATGCCATGACATGACATGGCATACCATACCATACCATACCGCACCGTACCGTACCAAATTCTACTGTACTATACCATACCAGGCCGTGCCATGAGGTGCTGTTTTCATGCCATACCTTGCCAGACCATGCCATTCTGTGCCACACCTTGCCATACCATAGCATACCATGCCATACTGTGCCACACCTTGCCATACCATAGCATACCATGTCATACCTTGCCATGTGCAGCAGTACCATAGCGTGCCATGCATGCTGTATGGTTGTCCTGCCCCCACTCCACTCCACTGCATGCCATGTCCCAGCCGCCTGTCGGCCTCGTCTGTTGCTCCCGATGCTGTACTATATCGTTCACAAGTCCCCTCCGCCTCCACACTTCCCGCCACGCCCTCCCTTTCCACCTCATCCTCCTCACCCCTCCTCCTCCTCACCCCTCCTCCTCACCCCTCCTCCTCCTCACCCCTCCTCCTCCTCACCCCTCCTCCTCCTCACCCCTCCTCCTCCGCACCCCTCTCTGCCCACCCTCCCCCCGTCCCCTTTGCCCCAGCGACTTTTCCCTCCCGGACTTCATCCATGAGGTGCAGGAAGACGTGCTGCCCGTGCTCACCGCGTACATGCACGTGAGTGGATGACAGCATGTGAGTGCTCACCGCGTACATGCACGTGAGTGGATGACAGCATGTGAGTGCTCACCGCGTACATGCACGTGAGTGGATGACAGCATGTGAGTGCTCACCGCGTACATGCACGTGAGTGGATGACAGCATGTGAGTGCTCACCGCGTACATGCACGTGAGTGGATGACAGCATGTGAGTGCTCACCGCGTACATGCACGTGAGTGGATGACAGCATGTGAGTGCTCACCGCGTACATGCACGTGAGTGGATGACAGCATGTGAGTGCTCACCGCGTACATGCACGTGAGTGGATGAGAACATGCGTTTTGAGGGGTGTCAAAACTTCTGCCTGTGCACAATTCGTGCATGCACGTGAGTGGAGGAGAGCATACATGCATGTGAGTGTACACCGCGTCATGCATGTGAGCATATGGGATCATACGTGCGCTAATGAGAGCATGTGTGCTTATCACTCACGCATGTCGAGATCTGAGGGAGCAGAGCTGTCTGGCTTCCATTGCCTTCTTCACACCCTTCTTCTCCATGTGCCCATGCATGCACCTGTGTGCCCATGCATGCACCTGTGTGCCCATGCATGCACCTGTGTGCCCATGCATGCACCTGTGTGCCCATGCATGCACCTGTGTGCCCATGCATGCACCTGTGTGCCCATGCATGCACCTGTGTGCCCATGCATGCACCTGTGTGCCCATGCATGCACCTGTGTGCCCATGCATGCACCTGTGTGCCCATGCATGCACCTGTGTGCCCATGCATGCACCTGTGTGCCCATGCATGCACCTGTGTGCCCATGCATGCACCTGTGTGCCCATGCATGCACCTGTGTGCCCATGCATGCACCTGTGTGCCCATGCATGCACCTGTGTGCCCATGCATGCACCTGTGTGCCCATGCATGCACCTGTGTGCCCATGCATGCACCTGTGTGCCCATGCATGCACCTGTGTGCCCATGCATGCACCTGTGTGCCCATGCATGCACCCTTGTGCGCATGCATGCACCTGTGTGTGCATGTATGCACCTGTGTGTGCATGCATGCACCTGTATGTGCATGTAAGCACCTGTGTGTGCATGTATGCACCTGTATGTGCATGTAAGCACCTGTATGTGCATGTAAGCACCTGTTTGTGCATGTAAGCACCTGTGTGTGCATCTAAGCACCTGTGTGTGCATGCATGCACCCGTGTGTGGTGCATGCACACATGCATGCACCTGTGTGTGCATGCATGCACCCGTGTGTGTGTGCATGCATGCACCTGTGTGCGCATGCATGCACCTGTGTGGGCATGCGTGCACCTGTGTGTGCATGCATGCACCCGTGTGTGTGCATGCATACACCCGTGTGTGGTGCATGCACACATGCATGCACCTGTGTGTGGATGCAAGCTTGCTCGCTGTGTGCGGGACTGCCTGTCTGCCTGTCTTTTTGTCTGGCCGTCTGTGTGTGCTCGTGATCCACATGTGTGCTGTTACGAGTCTAGTTTTGAGGCGCCTCAAATCATGTGCTTGTGATCCCAACCTTTTGCTGGTGTGTGCTGGTGCGTGCTGTGCGCCACCCCAGGGCGACCTGGCGGCGTTGAAGGCGAGGTGTTGCAAGGAGGTGGTGGAGCGCTGCCGGGCAGAGCAGTCCGCCATGCTGGCGCAGGGGCTGCAGGCTCACCACCGGGTCAGAAACACAGGGGCACAGGGGCTTGGGGAGAGAAGGGTTAGGGGCACAGGGGGGTTGGGGGGTGGGGTGGGGGATGGAAGGGAGGCTGGAAGAGATGAGGGAGGGGGTGCGGGAAGGAATGGAGTAGCTGTAAGTCAAGGGGGGGGGGGAGGGGGGGGTAAGTCAAGGGCTTTTCAGAGAGGGAATGGATAGGTGTTTCACTCTACTCGATGAGTGTCTTATTGGTGCATGGGCATTTGTGTGTGGGGTGTGCTGCGCATGTGCATCTGCAAGGGTGTGTGTTTGGTAAGTGAAGGGGGGATGCACGCGTGTCTTGTTCCGGTGCGTGGTTGCGTACAAGCATGCATGTGCAGTCAAGCCTTCCACCAAAATCCTCCCTCCCTGCCTTCTCACGTATCAATCGCCCATTCCCACCTTCTCCCCTCGTCCCTCCCCCCCTGCAGATCCTGCACCACTCGGACGTGGAAGTGAGAGAGGTGAAGCTGGTCGGCAACGACCCCGTCATCATCCTCCATGTATATCCCTTCACCCAACACACCTGCCCCTCCTCGTCTCTCTTTCTCTCTCCTTTCCACTCTCCTTGTCCTGATTCTGGCACGTTCATTTCTCACTCTCACCGTCTCCCTCATTTCCCCTTCTCCCTCTCCGTCTCCCATTTCTCCTTCTCGCTCAAGTGCTCACATTCTCCTTCCGTGTCCCTTGCAAACAAATCAACACCCAATTCATGCATCCTCGTGAATTGGGCTGATGTGAACCGCCTCTCCCTGCTGCCTTTTGTCACATTCTGCTGCCTTTTGTTTCCTTCCCCTTCCCTCTCTTCCCCCAACCCCTCCTTTTCAACCCCAAGCCCCCATCTCCCCGCTTTCATCTTACTGCCCCGATGCAGTGGCAATCTGTTTCCCCCTAGCTCTACCGTTCAGCCCTCCTCACAGTTCCCCAGGCACGGCTTAGTGGCTTGTGCTGCCTCACAGTGTGTAATGAGTGTATTTTTGAGTCTACTCGATGATAGACTCATTACACACCGTTCAGCCCTCCTCACAGCTCCCCAGGCACGGATTAGTGGCTTGTGCTGCCTCACAAGCACCCGGGAACACGTCCCTGCCTCTCATTTCATTTCCTTGCCATTTTGCGTGTGTGATTTCATGTCTGTGTGCATGCCCGTGTATGTCCCTGTGCCGCGTATATGCGCGCATGCATGCGTGTGCGCATGTGTGCTCATGTATGTGCATGCGCTGGCATGTCTTTGTTTTGATTTGCGTGTGTCGGTGCCCGATGGGTGCAGTTCACATCGCAGCAGATCTTCTGCCTGATGGACAAACAGGGCAAGGTGCACGAAGGGGGAAAGGTGAGTTGTCGAAACTGTCCACATTCCTTGTTCCACTCTTAGCTTCGTAATTGATGTGCTCCTTCCTTAACCAATCGTCCTTCAAGAGCATTCCATCACCGGCCACCACCACCACTCGTCATCACGCCATCATCCTCCACTCTTGTCTGCTGGATGTCCGTGTGTGTGTCCGCGTGTGTCCATGCATGTGTCTGCGTGTATGTGCATGGGTGTATGTGTGCGCGCGCGCGCGTGTGTGTGTGTGTGTGTGTGTGTGTGTGTGTGTGTCTGTGTGTGTGTGTGTGTGTGTGTGGCACCAGGACAACATAATGACCATGTTCCATGCATGGGCCATGCAGCAGTCGTCTCTGGAGGACCTGGCAGAGGATCCCGATGAGCCCAAGTGGCGCTTGAGGGAGATGCAGCAGATGGGCACGCAGGCACTCATTTAAATCACCATCTCTACGATCCTGGGAACTCCTCATGGCTCCGCTCCTAGTGATAGGTAGGGAGGCGTGGACCGTGCCTCTAGGAATAACTCCGTAGACCAGCTTGATTGGATTGGCACTGTTGTGGCAACATGCACGTTGCTGCAACATCTTGAATCTTGGCCATCAGATGAATGGTGGCTGAGTATATAAAACGTCACATATTGCAGTTTGACCAACCAATCAATCAGTATTGCACGCAAAAAAAGTAGAATGCTTTTAAGGGATATGCACGCAAAAAAAAGGTATGATTGCAGCTAGAGCTAGATGGCTCTGGGAGTGCAAGCAAGCATACCGTGGTGGATGCAGCATGAAGTCATACATGAAATGTGTCTCGAAAACCACACCTTTGCTAATGGTGCTGCATTTATCCGTCCGTAGTCCCATTCTTATCTTACCATGGAATATTTCACTACCGGATACGAATGTGGGAAAGTTGCATAAGCCGCCAAAATAACCGCAAAAGCGCAACGGCACTGTGAAGGGACTCTGTGCTCCAGTCACAAACAACTACTGTGGCGAGGGTACACAGCATGGCACGGCATAGCGCGCCCACACGCCATGATCACCCAGCCCTGCCCAAACCAAGCATAATGCCATCCCTACAAGGCCAGGCATGCCATGCCATTCAAACCAGCTGACCAATCACCAAGCAGCACGCAGCACCCAGCTCCTGGTTGGGAGGGGTACAGTGCAGCGCTGAGCAAAACCCCATGTGGGGTGAAGCCTTTCCCCCTCACAGAACCCCCAACCTGATTCCCCTCCCCTCCCCTCCACTCCCCTCACTCGCCTCTCCTCTCGGACCCGCTGGTCGTAGAGTCTCTCCAGAAAAAAAAGCATCCCCATCAAACCCTCCCCCCCAGCCCCGTGCACGACGCAAGTAAGAAGTAATAGCGACCGTTTAGTAGTTCATATGCATCCGAAATCCCGCTCCAGATTGCTTGCGCCGGACTGCCAGCGGTCTAATAACATTCTTCTGACAGAGCTGACGTGCGTCGGTTTTAGAAAGGGTTCTGTCTACCGTTCATATCACCTGACCCTCCATTTTCTGAGAAAGGAGGTGACCCGGATCACTGGAGGATAAACGACGGAAGAGCGACGAGAGAAGGACATGCAAGGAGTATTGTGAGGGAGGGAGTATTTCCAGATAGGGTTTATTCGTACCGAAGGCGCAAGGCGGTAGGCAAGTTGGACCCTTAGGACTAATAGTCTGTGAAATATGCCGAAGAAGAGAAAGTCGGAGACGCCAGGGCTTGAAGACGGCGATAAAACCCTGTTTTCGTCATTCTGCGCTGCTGCCAATTCGCTATCCCAGCTCTACTCTCAGGCGCAAAACCAGCAACGTGTCGCATTTCAGTCCGGTGAACGGCATGCACTAGTACGTACAGTCACTTATTCTCGTTCCGCTTTAATCTTCTGTTTTCGTTTTTTATGCTTGCCCGTTCTGCGCTTCCCCAGTCCTGTTTCTTCTTCCGCTACGTTCTTCCCGTTTCTCTCTCTCTCTCTTTCGCTCACCTTTCTAGTTCGTCCTCTCTCCCAGTCACGTATGCAGCAATGGCTAACGTCGGAGCAAGGGGCCGGGGACAGCAACTCAGGTCTCGTTTCCAAGGAGCAGATTCTGGACTTTATCCAGGTATTTTTTTTTTCCATATGCGACCTATTTCCGAACATACTGCGCTTATTGGGGAGCCTCGCGTAGGTCTGCAGTGTTCGAGTTTTTTTCCCTAGATCCTAAACCTAGCGTTTGCATTTCTCAAACGGATATTCGGCTTTGTCTCTCCGCCTTGGTTTTTCATTTTATTTTCCAACCGCAGGGCGAACTGGATCGGATGGACGACGGTCCTCCTCTGGGAAATCTTTCCTCTGCTCTGCGTCCCTCATCAGTTCTCCCCAATCTCTCTGGAAGTCCTGCGCCGTTGCTTTCCCAGCTCGATCGTTGCCATATCCGCTCTCGCGGATCGAGCGCGGGTACGGGAGGAACTGCAGAGGGTGGATCGCGGCACCGCCAGCACATTTCCCAGCAATTGCACCACTCCAGGCAACAGCAACAGCATCAGCACCAGCAGCAGCAGCATCTGCAGCAGCATCAGCCACAACATGAAGCGCAGACCTTTGAGCAGTGCCCGGCTGTGCATCAAGTGCAACAACCACAAACCACTGTTGACCTTCCAGCCACAGACGCTCGTGCATCAGTCAATCTCGCTAGCAGGACTGGTCCTGCTCCTTCTGCTGTGGCTGCGCCTTCTGCTCCCTCTCCACTGAAGCCATCCCTTGGTCAGGGCATCCCTCCGGGCCTCCCTCATGTCGAGCTGTTCAATGGCACTCCCCAACCAGGGTATCACAATTGCCAGCCACAAGGCGGCCAACAACAAGTAGCACAATTTGGGCAGCAACATCAGCAGCCTAGTCAGCAATACTACCACCAGATGCATAATCATGCTGGGCAGTCAGTCCATGCGTTTGCCTGTGCTGGGCGTTTGACGCATGTGATAGCTAGTGATGGCTCTGCCAGCATGGATACCTGATTCTTCCCTTTTTTCTAGTATTGCATATCATTAGCATTAGATAAACTTGTGTGGGCTCTTATGGGGCAATTGTTGTTGGGGTCGAAAGGGGATGCTCATTATTTGTAGAGGAATACCATAACGGAACAAACAGATTTGTGTACGTCCGAAAGATACCAGCTTTTGCATCCAAGGGTTGTAAGGGCATGTTTAACACGTTTATTGGCTGTATATCACGGTTCAATCGGTGAGTGGGACACGCCCTGACAAACTCGGAAGTGCATCTTGTGCAAATCATATGCATAAAGACTGCGATTCAGTATGGTTTAAGACGTTTCAGACCAGTTTTCGCTCTTTACGCCTTCTGACAGTCAGCACCAACATAGAAAATGATTAGGAAACGTACGCTTGGGACACGCCCTCAGTTGCAGAAACCGTTAGCCCTGGATTGTGCACCCAACACCTCGTACCACCATTAGGTGTTGAGTCCGTCAACAGGGGATCGCTCTTCCTAGAATTCCCATTGCGCAGAAGGCCATCCCATTTATTTGAGTGATTTCGGACATGCGTAGCATGAATGCCGTCGTTGTTCCGGGTGTGACTTTGATAACAATGGCGGACTGCAATGAATCCAATGGCCACGGTGATTAGACCGTCGGAATGAATACAGCAACCGAAGGGCTCTAACAGGTCGGAGCTCTGAATGTTCTTAGCGTCTGAAAGTTCGAAGCGTCTAGATGTTCGAAACGCCTGAAATTCGTCCTATTCGCAAATTGCCAGGCATTCGTTAGGTCAATCATCAGCTGCAGCAGCAGCGTCTTTCTTCGTTCGTCATCAAGCTCGCCCGTGCACTGAGAGGCGGCCGCCATGGATTTCGTGGCCAGAGCGACAAAATCAGGTGCTCTCGCCTTGCTCTGCTATCGCTCTCCCACTGTCCCTTCCTTCTCATCCTGCAACTCTCTCATCCACGTATTCCCGCTGTAGTCCTCCGGCGCCGCAATCGCTCTTCCAGAAGGCATTGTTTCTCTCCCCCCATCCCTCGCACACTGCACCCCATCCCGCCCCCCCCCCCCCCCCCCCCCCCTTCCCCCCCCCTTCCCTCCCTCCTCCGTCTCCTTCTCTGCTCTCGCCTCGCTCCCCGCCCCCCCTCCCCCCCTCTTCCTGAAACGCTCCCTTGCCCATTGTGTGTCTGCCGTGGCCCTCCCTGTTATGGGCCGTGCCGTGTAGTGTTGAGAGCAGCAGCATCGCGTATGGGCGACGACCAGTCCGCCTCGCAGTCGCCAGCTCCCTCTGCGCGAGGGGGCACCGCAGCAGCACACGCCAGAGCATCCTCGCCGTACTCCCCCTCGCCCGCTCTCGTCGCGCCCGCCTTCTCCCGTACGCTCTCCCGAATGTGCTGAGCTCACGCACCTGGAATGTGCTGGGGGCTGGATAGCCTTGCCATGACCCAAGCGCTCGTTTCTTCCAGCCTAGTTCTTTATGTCCTCTCTGCAGCGTGCTATTGCTGTGTCCGTAGCTTCTCCCCATGACTCTCAGTTGCTTTCTGAGGCTCACCCCCACCTTTCCCTCATGTTCTATTATGAGAGGCCATACCTGCCTGGGTCTAAACTCAAGTGGCGTCCTCCCCTGGCATGTGTTCGTGGGTGCATGCATGTTTGCACGTGTTTCATGTGTGCGTGCGTGCATGGGTCCGTGGGTGCATATGCACATACATGCATGCATGCATGCATGTGTGTTGTGCGCATGGCAACAACAGAGGAGCACCTGCCGTGGATAATGAAGTCAGCGCATGAGAAGCCATACGAGGAGGAGCTCAAGAGGCGGATACTCGCCCTCTCACAGGTACGTACGTACCTCTGCCGGCGTGAGTAGTCTATTTTTGAGGAGTCGCCTCAAAAATACGTACCTCTGCCTGCGTGAGGAGTCTATTTTTGAGGCGCCTAAAAATTACGTACCTCTGCCTGCTGCCTTGCATTTCCTTGCCTTGCGTACACGAGTATCGTTCTTCCTCCCTCTGCTCCGCTTGCCCACTCTCCCCCGTTCGCTCTTCTTTGGCCTTCTTCAACTTCACGTTAAAGACCCCTTATGCAATCTGCTTTGGTTTGGTGGCTTCTCTGGGCGCTATGCTGCTCCCCACATCCCATATGGTGTGTGTGTGTGTGTGTGTGGGTGTGTGTGTGTGCGCGCGCGGGCGCTCGCGCACGCCTGTGGGTGCTCCGTGGCCCTTGCAACCCTGAGCAGAGGCCAGAGGAGTTCCTATATGGCGAGCTGGACCCGTCGCTGCTCATTGACATGCGCCAAGCCACGCTCATGGCAGCGTCCGTGCTGCAGGTCCGTCCGTCCCCAGGACTCCCCCTCAGCCTCCTTCATGGGGCTATTCACTCTTCTCCTGGCTCATTTGCCATTTCCGTTTTTTTTTTTTTTTTTTTTTTTTTTTTTTTTTTTTTGGTCTGATCATGCCTCTCACTGTGCCTCTCCCTGTGCCTCCGTCTGTGCCTCTCCCTGCGCTTCTCCCGTTGTCGCTCCCTGTGCAATTCCCTGCTATTCTATCTGGACCTACCCACCCACATGACCGCATCACCCGTCTAATCCTTGTCTCCTTGCTTCCGTATTCTTTACCTCCCTCCCTCCCCCCCTCCCTCCCTCCCTCCCTCCCCATGCCATCTTCCACCTCCTTATGGACGCTATCCATTCTTACTCCCTGACCACTGCTTCTTTGGAAACCTGCCCCTCCCCCAACCCTCCTCCACCTCCCGCCCCCCCCTTCCTCTTCACCCCCCCCGCGGTCCCTGGGGCACGGCAGGTGGACGAGGAGCTGCGGCAGCTGCGGCTGCGGTTTGTGCCGCGTGTGATGAAGGAGCAGGAGTTCTGGCGCCGCTACTTCGTTGCCGTCAAGGCCCTCAAGCACCACGTGCTCACCCAGCCGCAGCCGCAGCCTCAGCTGCAGCCGCAGCAGGAGCAGCAGGAGGAGGGGGAGAGGGAGCTGCAGGGTCGCCAGCAGCAGCATAAGCATCAGCAGAGGGGGGTCAATGGGAGTGCCCCGTCGTCCAAGTCACTTATTTCATCCTTCGGTTCAATGGCCAATGCCGGTGCGGCTGCTGCCACTGCTACTGCCACTGCTACCTCTACTGGTTCAGACATGAGCCAAGGACCATCAACCTTGCGCTCACTTGGCAGCAGTGGAAGCAGAAGCAGTCATGCTGGTCGTGGTGGCAGTGGTGGTGGTGATGGCAGTGGTGGTGGTGGTGGCAGTGGTGGTGGTGATGGCAGTGATGGTGGGGAACGGCTCGTTCCCCCAGGTGCCTCATTGAGCTCGTCTGGCGGCATAAGCGCTGCACCCCATTCAGCTCCGAACGCCCGTGACGATGCCGCTGCTGGCGCTGCAGCAGGAGCAGGAGAAGGTGGAGGAGGCGGAGGAGGCGGAGGAGAAGGAGGGGGTGGGGCGGCTGGGCTGTCACGGAGCGGAAGCGGGCGGCGTTCAATGTCGTTTAGCGGGACTCAACCGTGGACGTCCCCTCCTTTAGGCCGGCCGTTGTCGCCTGGCAAGCAGAGGCCGCCCCTGGGCAAGGGGAGGAGCGACGACAAGGAGCGGGCAATGCGACGCTCGGTGGGTGAGGGGGGGGAGGGGAGGGCCTATCTGTACGAGAATGGTAGTGGGGTGGGGTGGAATGGAAGTAGTGGTATGGGGCTAGGGAAGCTTGGAGTCGAGGTGTGGGGGTGGGTGCTGGCGCGGTTGCGAGAAGAGCAGATACTCTGTTGCAGACTGTAGGTGGGGCGGTAGGCTCTTGGGTGACGAAAGGCGCTGGGATGGGGCGATAGCTGTAGGGAGATTGGGAAAGGTTCGTGCCGGATCAGTGCAGGCAGAGCTGCTGTTTCTGTGTGTGTGCATGTGCATGTGTGTGTGGGTGTGTGCATGTGCATGTGTGTGTGGGTGTGTGCAATTTTTTAGGCGCCTCAAAAAGAGCTGCTATTTCTGTGTGTGTGCATGTGCATGTGTGTGTGGGCGTGTGCATGTGTATGCATGTGTGTGTGTGGCGGGGGGGGGGGGGAGGGCAGTGCATGTGTGTTTGCACGCGCGCATGTGTGTGCATGTGCATGTGTTTGAACATGCACCTATTCAACCTGTTTACACATCTGTTGGCACACTCACCACACAAGTGCGTGCACCCCACCATGCCCCCATGCCCGCCATGCCACCATGTCCCCCATTCGCCCCATGCCCCCCATGCGGCCCATGCCCCCAATGCCCCCTGTGCCCCCCATGCGGCCCATGCCCCCAATGCCCCCTGTGCCCCCCATGTGCACCGTGCCCCCAATTCCCCCCATGCCCCCCATTCCCCCCATGCCCCCCATTCTCCCCATGCCCCCCATTCTCCCCATGCCCCCCATTCCCCCATGCCCAACGTGCCCCCCGTGCCTGCCATGCCCCCCATGCCCCCCATGTCCCCATGCCTCCCCAAGCCCTTATGCCCCCCATGTCCCCCATGCCCCCGTGCCTGCTGGCAGCTAGCGCGGGAGGAGTCGGTGGACGAGGACGTGGACGATTTTCTCCAGCCCATATCCGTGCCCTCCTCCGTCACCATACGCCGCCTTGCCCAGGCGCTCAAGTACGATAGTAATCAAGTTTTGAGACAGCTCAATGCCCGTCTCCCTGCCCTCCTCCGTCACCATACGCCGCCTCGCCCGGGCACTCGAGTACACTGCAAACTTCACCCGCTCAATCGATTCGCTAGCTATGTTTCTGCTGCTCTGTGGCATTGCATGTTGTTCCACTCAAGTACGCCGTGCACTGAACTCGTCGACATTCACCCTGGATGCACCCCCCTTTCCACTGCACCATGGCACTGCCTGCATGCATTGGCCAATCTCTGGCCCTTCCCTAGTGGAACCCCGATTCCTCCTGCCTTCCTAGTCACCTTGTAGGTCGCCCTCTTTTGGCTCGTTCAACTCAACTCACTCTCCTTTCCGCTTTCAGCCCAACAGTCCCTCTCGAAACCATTTTTGAGGCGCCTCAAAAATCCTTTCAGCCCAACAGTCCCTCTCGAAACCATTTTTGAGGCGCCTCAAAAATCCTTTCAGCCCAACAGTCCCTCTCGAAACCATTTTTGAGGCGCCTCAAAAATCCTTTCAGCCCAACAGTCCCTCTCGAAACCATTTTTGAGGCGCCTCAAAAATCCTTTCAGCCCAACAGTCCCTCTCGAAACCCCCCTCCAACTCCTTTCCCCCATACCCCCCCCCCCCCCCCCAACCCCCCCGCCTCCCCTCTTCCCCCCCGGCAGCATGGCGCGTGCGTTTGCAACAGTGGAGGACATGGCATGTGAGGGCAGCATCGACGACTCGCCCGACGCACCAAGCAGGGCTAGAGGGGCCATGGGAGGCGCAGCAGCAGGCATGGGAGGCGCTGGCAGTGGCAGTGGCATGGGCGGGACAGCAGGAAGAGGAGAGGACGGATTCAGTGGTGGGGGGGTGTGGGGGGGGGTCTGTCGGGCTCTGCCGGTGCTGGGGGTGCGGGGGCAAGTGGCAGTGACCGGTGGTCGTCTCTTGTGATGCAGACAATGGAAGCAGGCTTTGCTGCGGCGCTCAGCCTCGCTCCTAAAGGCATGCCTGGGCCAGGAGGACATTCCGGGGCCCATGGTGGCATGGCTGGGAGTGAAGGGTCAGGGGGAGGGAGAGGGGGAGGTGCGGGGGGAGGTGGTGGTAGTGGTGGGAGTCCCAGCTTTGGCCGCACGTTTAGTTTTACTGGAGGAGGGGCGGGTGGGGGGGGTGGTGGCGGGCGCAGGCACAGCCGCACGCGCACGCTGGCGTTTGGCCCCGGGGAGTACAGTGCGCTGCTCTGGTCGCTCTTTGACCTCGGTGGGTGGTGCTCTTGCCTTGTGTGCTCGTGCCTTGTATGCTCGTGCCGTGTCTGCTCTTTTCCTCTGTGTTCCAACCAAGCTCCTTGCGTATGGTGGTGCTCTCATAGTGATTAGTTGCATGCATACCCAGTTGCCGCTAACCCAGGCTGGCCCGCTGTTCCAACGTAAAAGTCGATTGAATGTGCAGAAATGCATTGGCTGCATCGGCTCAAAAGCAGATCCGATTACAATATGCAGCGCAGCCCGCTCCCACCGCCTGCTCACCTTTGTCGACCCCATGTTAATCAAGCACTGCAACATGGAGTCCCAACCGCGAATGTGTGCCGTTGGAAGCGCATGTGTCAGGCTGAGGTCGAGCACTTCAAATACACATACTCTTCCTCACTCTCTTTAACACACCTTCCACTCTTTCTTCACTTTGCCCATCTCTCCCTCCCACTTGCTCACCACCTGCCATTCTCCCCCTCTCCCTCTCCCTCTCCCCCCGTTCTCTTGAACCCAGAGGACGAGTCATGGGAGAGTCCAGAGGGGTTGGAGCCTCTGCACCTGGGCCACAGCTCTAGCACCAGCGGCAGCGGCAGCCTCGCAAGCCCAGCTCAGAACCACAAGCAGGCGGGCGCAGCGGGGCGATCTGAGCCGTCCATTGTGCACGAGATCCATGGTGCCCCGCCCAGCGGGTTTGTGGCGCAGCTGGCGGAGACGATGGCGGGGATCTCGTCGGACTGCAAGATGGCGGGCTTCTGGATGCAGATCGTGCTCGAGGTGCGTGGCACTGGACAGGGGCGACAGGGGGGGCGAGGGACGGGGCGAGAGGGGGGGCGAGGGCAGGGGCGAGAGGGGGGGAGAGGGGGCTGGAGTTTGCTGAAACACATGTTTGCATCTGGTTGCTTTTGGTCGTCTGCTCCCATGCCATGCTTTCTGCTGTGCCCAGCACTGTCCACAACCGTCCTTCTCTTCTTCTTTGTTCTTTCCCCTCACTGCCCACAACCTTCCCATCTTCAATCCGCCATCCCCCTTTCCGCCTTCCCTCCCAACCCTCCCTCCGCTCCCTCCCCTCTCCCCTCACTCCGTCCCTCCCGTCTGCCTTTTCTCTTCCTGCAGCAGGACAGCGACCCCGACTTCCACACGTGCCTGCCTGCTGCACCAGCAGCCTTCCCATCCCCAAATCTCAGTCTTTCACCCCCTCTCTCCCTTCCTCTTCTCCTCTCCTCCCCACTCCCACCCCCCTTGCCTCTTTCCTTCCTCTTCTTCCCGTCTCCACTTCCCTCTCCCCCTCTCCCCCCCCCCCCGGCGATGCCATCCTCTTCCCCCCTCCCTCCCTGACCCATCAGCTGCGGCGGCGGTGGGTGGCGCGGCGCTTCATCCCGCGGGTGCCGCAGGACAGCGACCCGGACCTGCACACGTGCCTGCTGCACCAGCACCTGCACCTGCTCAACTGCTGCACCGCCCGCCGCCTGCGCCGCTCCCACCAGCTCGCGCACGGCAGCCCGTCCACCGCCGGGACTGGGGGGGGTGCGGGGGGCACGTGGGGCGCTGGAAATGGTGGTGGAGCGAGTAAGGGCGGAGAGGGAGGAGGAGGAGGAGTAGGAGGAGGGAAGGGAGGTGAAGACAGGAGGAAGGGGGGTGGGGGTTTTGCAGGGAGTGGTGGAAAAGACGAGGAAGGAGGAGAGTGTGGGTCAAGGGCAGTGGGAGGGGTTGCAGAGAAGGCAGGGGCAGGGGCAGGGGTTGGTGAGGGGGGTGGGGGAGCAGGGGTGGGCATGTCAGGAGGCATGAGGAGGAGAGGAGTCTTGCGCCGGGTGCCGGGACTGGACCTGCTGGATACGGGGGAGCCTCTCTGTGCGCCCATCACCCAGGTAGGTACAGAACAGAGAGGTGTGCGGGTGCATGTGTTGTTCCTGGGTGCATGCGCGCATGTATGTAAGGCTCGTTGGCTAGGCTCTCTGCTCTGCTGGCTTCCAGGCGTGCTTGGTTGCTTGGTTGCTTGGTTGCTTGGTTGCATGTGGATTGGGTGAATAGCTGCACAAGCATGCGTCTGTGTGCCTGCACGCACATGCTCAGACCCGGTTTTGCACACGTTTCGCACATCAACGCGTGACTGTGTAAATTTGTGAACACATGAATACTGCATGCCCTCTGTGTGTGTGTGCATGCATGTGCTCATATGTGCATGTGTTTGTGCATGTGGCCATGTGTGCATGTGTGTGTGCATGTGCCCATGTGTACATGTGTGTGTGCATGTGTGTGCGCATGTGCCCATGTGTGCATGTGTGTGTGCATGTGTGTGCGCATGTGCCCATGTGTGCATGTGTGTGTGCATGTGTGTGCGCATGTGCCCATGTGTGCATGTGTGTGTGCATGTGTGTGTGCATGGGTGTGTGCATGTGTGTGTGCATGTGTGTGCGCATGTGCCCATGTGTGCATGTGTGTGTGCATGGGTGTGTGCATGTGTGTGTGCATGGGTGTGTGCATGTGTGTGTGCATGTGTGTGCGCATGTGCCCATGTGTGCATGTGTGTGTGCATGTGTGTGCGCATGTGCCGTGTGTGTGCATGTGTGTGTGCATGTGCCCACGTGCCCATGTGTGCATGTGTGGGTGAGCAGGAGGGGCCAGTGCTGACAGAGGTCACTCTTAGAGAGCAAGAGGAGCTCATCATGAGGACTGGCAGGTGATTTTCCAGAACTCTCAAGTAACAGGACCTCCAATCCAATCCCCCCACCCCGCCTCCCGTCTCCCCCCTCCCCCCTTCCTCTCTCCCCCCCCTCCTCCCTCACTCATTTCTTCTCTCCCTTTCTCACTCTCTTTCTCCGTCTCGCCACCTCCTCTCCCAACTCTGGTCCCCCTCTCTCCCTCCCTCCCCCTGTCCCCACCTCCTCCCCTTTCCCCCCATCTTTGCCCATGCACATTTTTTTTTTGAGAGATGAATACACTAAAAATAATGCATACATCGACAGTCGTGACTGTAGGGGGGGAAGGGGGATTTAGGCTAGGCGCCGGACCCCCGAGGAGGCTTATGGCGGGTTGAAGATAGTGCATGGGTCCCTCCAGATAAACTCGAACCTATCTGTCCACGTCAGTAGCCTGGTGCCCGAGGTGCAGATGCGGCGGAGTGCTACCACCTCATCCATTGCCAGATGTCCCCAGCCAGACCCATCACTCGCCTTGTCCTTCCTTCTGACGGCTCTCCGCTGGATACCATGTATGCCCTTGCATGCAGGTGAAAGGCCCACGCAATTTGGTGCCGCACCTTCTTCTGTTGAAATCCTTTTTGCTAAATATCGCATCACACCTCGCCTGCCAGATGTGGTGCAGCGTCGATGCCACGATGGTAGCTTCCGGAAACCCTGACCTGGTGCATGCGCTTTGAAAGAGCAGATCATCCAGCGACTGCAGCGAACGGGCAGGGTTCATCATGTGCAAGGCACATAAAAGTGCCCGGATAACCGGCTGGATCGTCAAACACTCGAATAAACAGTGCGCCAGCATCTCCTCGTTCTGACAGTACGGGCAGCACGCCTTGCTGCGGAGAAAAGCCAGCCTGCTACCCGCTCGCAAGTTCATGCAGTGGATTCGCAGCAGGACATCCCGCGCTTTACGGGGAACGACCTTGGAGTCCCTCCTCCGAGTCACCTCCATCCAGTCAATCTTCTCCCCCCAGCTCTCTTCCCAGGCTCCTTGCTGTCTGGGTACTTCTGTAGGTGCTGTTGTGAGTAGCTCTCGTATCTGCTTCAGCGCGGCTTTACCCATGCACATACTTTTCCATACGCCCCGTCACCTCTCATGCCACCCTATGGATGCCTCCCATCGCCATCCCTTCCGCCAGTGTGGGCACGGGCTGCCAGCAGCTCTTCTCCGACATGCAGGCCTTCAAGGTGCACTGCTGCTGCCTCTGCCACTGCCTCTGCCTCTGCCTCTGCCTCTGCCACTGCCTCTGCCTCTGCCTCTGGGTCGCCTCATGGATCCCAGGATCTCCTCCCACGATATCCATGACGTGCAAGGGTCATTCTGGGAATGCGCCCACCCTCTCTGATTCCTCTCTTAGACGCCCTGGCGGGCTGTTGCTGACTCGTCAAAGCGTTGCTGTTCGCTGGCCTGCCAGAATGCTGCTTTCTGACTCGACATGGAGATGGCTTGCTTGCTGCTTTCTGCTTTCTGCTTTCTCCTTCCCCCCCAACCTCCCCCTCCCTCCCTCTCCGCAGGCAGCGAATCCTGGGTGCATACTGGAGGACTTCGTGCGATGGTACTCGCCTCCCGACTGGAGCATGCTGCCGCCCATGCCGCCCGACGAGCCGGGCGGCAGTGATGGGAAGACAAGAGGGGGGGAGGAACGGGGTCAAGAGGGAGAGGGGAGAGGGGAGAAGCGTGATGGGGTGGAGGGACGTGCAGCAGGGAGTGGGGTGGAGGAGGGGAGGCGGAAGCATGGGTATCTGAGCACCAGGATGACGACGCAAGGTGCGAGCAAGCGATGGGTGATGCGATGTGATGCGATGCGATGCGATGATATGCGATGCGATGAGTGATGGGTGATGCGATGAGGTGCGAGCGAGCGATGGGTGATGTGATGCGATTCCATGCGATTCGATGCGATGTGGTGTGGTGTGGTGTGATGTGATGTGATGTGGTGTGATGTGGTGTGATGTGATGTGATGCGATGTGATGTGATATGTGCATGAGCTGTATACACATTTGATGTGCCGTGGGGCAGCAGCATTGAGGTGGGTTTAAGGTTCCGCTGCAATAGCCTCGGTGTGCCAAGCCAGGCTACTTGTGTTGACTTGCCTGTGTCAGCATTCCCATTCTCGTTCTTGTGTCTCAAGCGCACGCGCTTGACTGACAAACACCCTGCTGCTGCATGCTGCATCAACCGCTCTCCCTGCCTGTAGCCCCAGTCGTTGTGCCGTGTTCCCTGGTAGCTGCTGGAAGTGTCGGTCAGTCACAGCCTTACTAGCTCTGGCCCATTGTTGTGCCATCCTCTCCAACGAAACGTAGCCACCAGCTCGCCGTTCTTCCGCTCATTCCCTCCTCTATTTCCGCTCCCTGTTCCCCTCTCTCCCTCTATTCCGCCCTCGCCCTCCCCTCCTTACCTCCCCCCCCGCCACCCCCCCCTCCTCCCCCCATGACACCAGGCAATCTGTGGCAGGAGCTGTGGAACGCTGCACGCCCCATCCCGGCCATTCTGCAGCCGCCATTGTTCGATGAGGAGCTCGCAGGGTACGTGCATGCCCTGGCATCCATCCATGCATGCTCCGCCCTGTCATCCATCCATGCATGCTCCGCCCTGTCATCCATCCATGCATGCTCCGCCCTGTCATCCGTGCATGCATGCTCCGCCCTGTCCTCCATGCGCTGCTTTATGAAACCGTGCGCTCGCATGCCATGCCCCAAACCAGGATAGCCCGTGCATCACCCTGTAGCTGCATGCGAGGCATCCGCCCGCAGTCTTCCATTCATTGGGCTTCGCTTTCTGTCTCTGCCTGTCTCTGCCTGTCTCTGCCTGTATCTGCCTGTCTCTGCCTTTCTGTGCTGGTCTGCCTGTGTCCGCTGTGTTGGTGTGTGCGTGGTGTTAGAGATACATTGCAATTCCACTCTTGTATCCTGGATTAGGAATGTTTTCGTGGGTTGGGATGTGCACACAAATCCCAACCTTACCCAACGGTGATCCCCCAAATCTTCAATAACTTGATTGGAGATTTTGGAGATCCTATTGGAGATTCCCCTGGATTCCCCCTTTCATCCAAATCCACCCATCTTGCTATGTACTTATAGAGCCTTGGGCTCCTTACCTAATTAATCGATTCTGCTCAAACTCTTATACGTGGTACGTGCATGTGGTATGGCAGGGAGAGCACGCTGGATGCCCTGGAGAGCATTGCCCCCTCGGACCTCTTCGAGCAGCTCTTCATTGCTGCGGTATGCTCTTGCCGTGCTGTTAATCATGCTCATGCTGTTACCCGTGTCGAATTTTGAGGCGCCTCAAAACTCATCTCTTCATTGCTGCGGCATGCCATGCTTATGCCCTGTTTGTTAGCCATGCTCGTGCTGTTACCCGTGTTAACCTCATGCTCGAACCCATGCTCGTCTTCGTGCTTGCACTTGTCCCGGCACCATGAGAGTGTGTGACTTTGCACAATGATGTTGAGAAAGGTAATGACCCGAGTGATCATGGTGACCTAGGCAATAGTGCATTGCTTGCACTAGATGGAAAAGGTCCGTGGCAGACCGGGGAGGAAGAGCCATGCAGCCTGTGCGCTCGAGCACTGCTGTATCACTGGTGGATTTACTCCCTCGCCTGCACCCACTTCCCCAACTCAGTTTCCCTTGAGTCTACCCCTCCCCCAAATCTCCCCTTCCTCCTGCCTGTTTGTGTGCATGCTGCCTGCCTGCGTTCTTGCCTGCGTGGATGCGTGCGTGCATGCGTGTGGGCCATCAGCTGTCAGCGGGGTTTGGCCTGGCACAAACGGCCCTAGCGGGCTCTAAACGGGAGGCGGTGTGTTTCAACGTGCACGAGTGTGCGTCCTACGTGGCTGCCACCTGCACGCGAGGCATGAGCCCTGCTAAGATTGAGCGCCTCTGCCAGGTGTGTGCTTTTGTGTTTCTGTGTGTGGGGGGGAAAAGGAAATCTGCAGGGTGAGAGTGTGCCTCTGATGGTGTGATGTGCTTATGCAGCAGGTTTGTTCGCGCGCAGACGCTGTATATGTGGGAACATTGTCATGCAGAACACACACATCCATGGTTCATTTAACCTCCTCAGAGCGTATAACTCCTTGTGGCCTTGGTAAGTTCCTCATCTATCTCCCTTGGCCAACCCTGCCATGTTTCCTTCCTTCCTGTGCTTCCCCCTTGTTCTTTTCCCCCTTGGCCTAGGTGTATGAGCACATGGAGTCAGCTGTCCTTGCGTACAACGACCCCTCCTCCGCCTCTCCTTCCCCTGCTTCCACTGCCTCATCTGACGTCACGACGCCAGAAGGTCATCCTTATATGGGGGGAATGGCTGGCAGTTCAGGCACGAGCAGTGGGGACCCTGATGGCGACAGCTTTACCACGCCTCCTCGCCCTCTCTCCCTGCTCTTCTCCCAGTCTCCTGCAAAGGCTGGGTCGGGAGGGGGAGGCATGTTGAGTGGATGGTTCCGCACGAGAAGTGGTCGCTTTGAAATGGGGCGAGATGACGATGGCGTTGATGGTATGTGAATGGGCCGGGAGATTGATGGATGCAAGGTCTGGTGCTTGATACTAATTTAGGTTTCCCTTCCCGCCTTTCCATATATATAAATGTTGCAATTCAACCTCTCCACGGGTATCACGAACAGAGCTGCACCGCATTGAATTGTGATCTAGAATTTGTGCACCGCGTGCAACCGCATGAGTCTGACGCGAAGTGGTCTGTGTGATGAGAGGTTGTAGGAACCCATCCTCACTTGATCAAGCACATTCTGTCAGGTGCATGATTTGTTCGCTAATCAATGGCGAGTTTTTTTGTTGTTGTTGTTGTTTTTTTTTAGGGAACATAGATTCAAATGAATGATCTTTTGGAATCATGCCTTTTCTGCCCTACTACCAGTATGTAGTACCGGTATTGACTTTGTTTATGGTTGTTTGTGCTGCCTTGCACTCCCTTGTAACGGATACGGTACGCGTCTGCCACTGCCAGCCATCACCACTAGCCCCTCACCCCATGCGGCGCGAACCTGGAGTCCTTCCTCAGGTGGGGAGTGCAGGTCGGCTGGGAAATATAAGGGGACTAGTTGGGGACCTGAGTTGGGCTGTTTTCACATGTTCGGACAGTGACCTAAACTCGGAACATGAGTTGAATGAAGCTTACATAAGCATGTTTCAGAAAGCAATGATGCTAGTAACTTTGTATGAATTTCGATACCTAACTACCTTCTAGAGTTGATGTTCCTCTGCTAAGCTTCGTGTCACCGTCGAAAGTGCAACTTTGCGAAGAAAACCCAGAACTATCCTCAAATCTCCCGTGAAATGCGGGGCTGCGATTTGACCAGGTGCTGGGTTGCCCCTCTTGTTTGGAATGTCTGCCTACGTGGCATTCGTCCCGTCAAGGGAAGGGAACGAACGAATTTCGTTTCGGGTCCTCCTGACCTGAGATGTTACTGTACATACGGCCACTGGGTGACAGACAACATCAAGCCCCATCAGCTCCGAGAATTCCGTTTCCGCCTGCCCGAACTCGTCAATCCCGAGGAAGATCCGTCCGCCCCTCAATGCTCACCCCTGACCGAGACACAAGGCGGAGAAAACTCGGCTCCGCGCAAGGGGCTGCTTTCCCCGCAGCCCAGCATCTGGCATCAGCGTCTCCTCCTGAGCCTCGCCACTTGCCCCATCACCAAGAAGTGCTCGAATTTCAGTCGGACGGACTCCGTCTTGCCCCGTCTTGCCCTATAATTCACTCTCGGGCGTGTCCCAAGAGTACGTCCCACAAAATCTTTATGCGGTGGGGTATGGTGCAGCACGCTGGGAATCGGTTTTCGTGCTTCACCATTTCGAACCTCGGAGAACCAGATTGGACCGTATAAAATGTTCGGGGGGACGTACTCCACACACCCTCAGGAGCGCATTTCTCGCTCGGACAGAGCTGGCACTCTGGCGCCTCACTAGCTTGGCCATCCCAACAGCACACCCGAGCTATCACGGTCTATGCTAAGCCCCCTCTGCTCCATCTTTGAGCACACCGTCAGCATATCAGCTCTTTCTTCCCGCCTCTGCTTTCGCATTTCCGCGAACTCTGCTCAGAATCTGGACCGAGCCTCCTCAACGCGGCTCAAAATATCTGCTGCAATCTATGTGTGCACTGCACAGCACGTGACTTCACACAACGACCCCACAGCGTTGCTATGACGCTAAGATCACGTGGAGCAAACCGCACCGGCGTGGAGTGCCGTGTTGCACGCCGCTGATAGCGGCGAGCTAACTGACACCACCGCGAAGACTTGACCGTTGATAACTTTGCAGGGGTTCTTGATGCGTACAAAAGCTACCGCATATTCGAATTTATTGATAACACCAATCGCATACCGCAAATTCTCGAAACGAACCGCATTCGAGAAGTAAGATTCGGCTACTGTTAGCCGATCCCATCTAGATCCCAGACTTCTATCATTTAGCTAAGACCCCCTTATCCAATGGACGTGTTCGAGATCGAGTCGGAGGCCACTAAGGCCCGCGACGCCGCCGCCGCCGCGTCCGCTGCCTCGGCGGAAGCAGCGGCGGCGGTGGAGCGCGTGGAGGTGGTGGAGGCGGGCGACGCGACGCCGGCCGCCGGCCTGCACGACCACTTCAAGCCGCTGAAGCAGCTCCCCGCGCAGCAGCGCCAGCAGGAGCTGCGCAAGGATATACACTTCGTAAGTGGGGGGGGGGGGGGGGGGGGAGGGGGGGGGGGGGAGGGGGAGGGAGGGAGAATGGAGGGGAATGAGGAGGGGAGGGGGTTAAATAGGAGGGAAATCGGAGGAGGGGAGGGGGGGGGGGGGGGGGGGAGGAGGGGGTAGGGCTGCGGGAGGATGGGGTGGATTCGGGAAGCGAGGCAATGCGGAAGGGGCAACCGTGGAATTTCAGGACGTCACAAAGTCATGTGGGGCGCTGGAAGGGGGAATGCTGGGGAAGGAATGGCGGCAAAACGCGGAGTGCGAAAGTTGGCGCTAAAGTGTTACACGGATCGTGGTTGGTTGTCGGTATGACCCACCATTACTCCTCGAAGACTAGGAGTGCGCGGTCTCTTGGAATGTACTGCGAATTCGACGGATCTGGCTTGCTGCGCCGCGGAATGCTTCCGCGATTGCCGGAAACGAGGAAACGAATTTGGCGGCAGTCGCGCGGATGCAGGAATCCGGAAGCGGAAACGAAGGGGGCAAATGTGGAGTTAGAGGGGTGGAAATTGCGCGGAGTGGGGACGTTGCGGGGAGGACGCGAATAGCGGAAGTAAGAGTGGAGGGTTTGCCGTACGCGGATGGTTGGGCGGTTCTTGCAAGAGGCATGCGCGCTTGGTAAATCCCGCGGAAGTAGCTCTTAGAGAGCCGCGCGGAGGGGCAACATGGGCGGGGAGCGGAGAGGCACTTTGGTGGGGGGAAAGCTAATATTTTGCTCTTGTTGCCGCCGTGTATGGATGCGCTTGGGTGAATGCGTTTGCATGCGCGCGCACGTTTACGTGCGGGTATGTGTGTGCGCTTGTGTGCGCTTGTGTGAGCTTGTGTGCGCTTGTGTGCGTGTGTGCGTGCGTGTGCGTGCGTGTGTCTCGTGCAGGTAGAGCACACGTGGCCGGTCCATCAGCTGTGCCTCCACTTCCGCACCAATGCCACCAAGGTACGCTCCGCTCCTCCGCCTCCTGCGCTTTCCCCATGCCATGCACATGAGCAGGCAGCCTCCATTCCATCACGCCAAAGAGCACGGCGCAGAGCACGGCGCAGAGCACGACCCACTGGTAGCAGCCCTCTCAGACACACACGTGCGAACCGCCCGCCAACCGCTCGCCATCCAGTCCTTGTGTTGCCGCTTCCGCCCACCATCCAGTCCAGGCACTCACTGCGCGCCCCGTTGTGCGCCCCTTAGCGCGCCCGTGAGAGCCTTTTCCGCGTTCCAATGGCATCCCACTTTCGCTGCAATGCAATGCCACCCGTCGCTCCACACCCCTCTCGTCCCCACTCATGCTACGCATAGTCCTCTCCTCCCCAACCACCCGTCTTGCCACACAATACATTACCCTGCACCGTTTATGCAACCCTCCCCCACTCCTTCCCTCCCTACCCCCCTCGCCCCCACTCTCCCTCCTCGCCGTCCTCCGTCCTCCCTCCGTTCTCTCCCCTCCCCCCAATATATTTCCTGCGTGTCCGTCTCGAGGGCCTGACGGACACGCAGGTGCCGCGCAACCGCACGCGGTACGTCTTGAGGCGCGATTCCTGAGCCGCGCCTCAAAAGCCGACCCTCTCTCTGCAACCCCGCCTCTCCACCCCCATCTTTCCGGCACCTTTCCCCTCGGACGCGCAGGGCCTGACGGACACGCAGGTGGCGCGCAACCGCACGCGGTACGGCGAGAACAAGCTGACGCCTGGGTACGTGACGCCGTGGTGGCTCAAGTACCTGCAGCAGTACACCAACTTCTTCTCGCTGCTCCTCATCGCCGCCGCCGCGCTCTGCTTCGTCGCATACATCATCGACGAAAAGGACGTCAAGGAAAACGTACGCCCGCCAACTTGCACGCCCCCCCCCCCCACCCCCCCCCCCCCCGCACCCATCCTTCTTCTCCCCATCCCTCCCTCCCTCCCAGCCCCCCCTACAACCGCCTGTCTCTCGTGGGAACGAGCTGGCCTAGAGTGGCTCTGTTGCCGTAAAATGCAGGCGGGTAGCACTCCTTCTGTTCGGCCAAACTAGGCTGAGCTAGGCTGAGCTAGGCTGAGCTGAGCTACGTGCTTCCCTGGAGGATTGGCAGACCATTAGTCGCGCGTGCCATCCCTCCTATCCTCCCACCCTCCATCCATCCCTCCCTCCCCCTCTCTCTCTTCCGTCTCCTAACTCCCGCCATCCGACTCCCACATCCTCCTCCTCCTCCTCCTCCTCCTCCTCCTCCTCCTCCTCCTCCTCCTCCTCCTCCTCCTCCTCCTCCTCCTCCTCCTCCTCCTCCTCTTCCTCCTCCTCCTCCTCCTCCTCCTCCCCCCCCCTCGTCCCCTTTTCCCCGCCCCCCCCCTCCTCTTCAGCTGCACCTGGGCATCGTGCTGCTGCTGCTGGTGGTGGTGGTGGTGGTGACGGCGACCTTCACGTTCCTGCAGGAGATCACTTCTGAGTCGACTCAAATGTCCCCCTCCCCCGCCCCCACCTCTCCCCACCTCTCCCCACCTCTCCCCACCTCTCCCCCCTCTCCCTCCCCCCCTCTTCAGCTGTACCTGGGCATCGTGCTGCTGGTGGTGGTGGTGGTGACGGCGACCTTCACGTTCCTGCAGGAGCACAAGAGCGCGCACATCATGGAGGGCTTCCGCGCGCTCATCCCCGCCAACTGCCACGTCATCCGCAACGGCGAGTCCATGATGATCGACGCCACGGCGCTCGTGCCGGGGGACCTCGTGGAGCTCAACGACGGGGACAAGGTGCCGGCGGACATCCGCATCATCTCCGCCAATGACCTCACTGTGAGTTGGTGATGGTGGGTGCGGGCGGGAAAGGGGGAGGAAAGGGGGGCGGGGGGGAGAGGGGGGAACAGTTTGGGAGGGGAGGTCCGGAGTGGGTTGATGCGGCTGTGCTGAACTGTGGTGAAGCGGTGCATGATGCTTCTGTACAATAGAGCATCGGATCAGAAATTGAGTTGAGCACAACGCATTGCAAGCCAAGGAAGAAACTCCACTCGGTTGCAATGCGCTCCTCCTGATCTCTATCTCTGCGCCTTCCCTCCCCCCCCATCAACCTCCAACCTCCTCCTTCTCGCCTCCGTCTCCACCCTTCAACCTCCTTCCTCTCCGCACTCCCCTTTTCCTGCCCCCTCGTTTTCCTTCCACCCCTTCCACCTCCCCCCATACTCGTCTTCCCTCGGCCTCCTCGCATTCCCATCTGCCTTCCTCCCTTGCCTCTTCCACCATTCAAACTCCCATCCTTCCCCTCCCCCTCTCCCCCACCACAATCCCCTTTCTCCTCCACCACCCAACCCCTTCCCCCTCTCCCCTCTCCTCTCCCCCCGCCCCCAGGTGGACAACAGCGCGTTGACGGGCGAGAGCGAGGCGGTGGAGCGGGGGCCGAAGCTGGAGAAGGACGAGAGCGGCGAGCAGATCTGGCAGCCGCTGGAGGCGGCCAACATCGCCTTCTACGGCACCATCGTGTGCAGCGGCAGCGCCAGGGGGGTCGTCATCGGCACGGGGGACAACACTGCCATGGGACAGATTGCAGGTGTGAGCCGGGTTGGCAGGTGGTTGAGTGGATGGGTGGATAGGTGGGCAGGTGGGCGGGAGGGTGGGGTTGTGGGAGGGGGAGGAGAGGAGGGGCGGTTTGGGCAAAAGGTGGTGGGCAAGGGATTGGGAGGGCGGGTTGATGGTGTGGGCGATGGTGTGGGCGTGTGGGCGATGGTGTGGGCGATGGTGTGGGCGATGGTGTGGGCGATGGTGTGACCAGTACCAAGCCACCACGGAGCCACACCCCTCCCCATTCCCCACCCCCCTCCCATCCTCCTCCCTCAAACCTCTTCCCCCTTCCCTCCCTTCCTCCACCCTCACACCTACATAATCTCTTCTCGCCCCCCCCCCACATCCTCCCCCCTGTGTACCCGTGGTCCCCACACTGCCTCCTCCCAGGGCTGGCTGTCCTGACGGAGAACAACGAGACCCCCCTCTCCATCGAGCTCGGCCAGTTCGTGAAGATGATCGGGCTGCTGGCGGTACTCATGGGGCTCATCTTCTTCGCCATCGGCCTCTCCCTCGGGGATCCCTTCATCCAGACGGTCGTCTTCGGCATCGGGGTCATCGTGGCCAACGTGCCCGAGGGGTTATTGGCGGCTGTGACGGTGTCGCTCGCGCTGGCGGCGAAGCGGATGCATAGGCGGAATGTGCTGGTGAAGAACCTGCAGAGCGTGGAGACGCTGGGGTCGTGCACGACGATCGCTTCGGATAAGACCGGCACGCTCACGCAGAACCGCATGACTGTTCGTACGTGCATGAGGGGGAGGGGAGCGGGAGAGGCGGGGAAGACGAGGGAGGAGGGGAGGGGAGGGGAGGGGGGGGGAGGGGAGGGAAGGGGAAGGGGGAGAAAGGGAGGGTGGGGTGCAGATGAAGTGCAAAGGATGGGATGACGGTCAAGAGTGGGCTGGGATGGGATGGGATGGTCGAGCACTTTTGAGAATTCTCAATCAGTTTTCGTCTGTCTAAGGCCTCTCTCCCTGTGCCCTCCTCTCTGCCAACACTTGCTTTGCTCCCCTCTTGTGCCGCCGCCTGTGTAATCTGTGTGCCCCCCACGTCCTCTCATCACGCAATCCCTGTACTCTTGCGCGCCCGTCATAATGCCTGCTTGTCTTGCTGCTGCTTCTGCTGCCTCTGCTGTCGATCGCCCCCCCCTCCCCCGCCCATCTTCCAGAGCACTGCTGGTACGACCTGCGGGTGTTTGAGTGTCCGGCGGTGCACAACCGCGTGGAGTGGGAGGCGTTTATGAAGAGCCCCGCGGCGTCGCTGGCGTACGAGCCGCAGTCCATCACCTTCCAGAAGCTGCAGCTCATCTGCACGCTCTGCAACAACGCCACCTTCCTCTCCTCGCGTATGCACAACAACCCACACATCATGCGCAATCCACACATGTGCAGACCAGACCACGCATCCTAGCCGTATTCTTGCCTCTGTCCTTCCCTTCCCTTCACTTCACTTCCCTCCCACTTCTCCCCCAGGCCCGCCCCTCCCACTCGCCCTTAAGCCCACCCCTTCCACCCGTGCTTCCCCTTTCCGTGACTCCCCTCACCATCCTCTCCACGTGTTGCTCTTACCATGCTCTCGATGCCCCCTTCCCCTCTCCTGCTCCTACACCTCCCTTCCACTCGCACTGTCACCCTCCGTCCCTCGTCTACAGCCTCCCCCTCTCTCCTCCCCCCCCCTCTTCTACCTTCCATGTTACCTCCGCTGCTCGCCTGCTCATTGCCAACCGAACGCCCGCCCCTCCCCATGCCCCCAGCCCCCACCCCCTACCCCCAGAGGGCGAGGACATGGCCCGGCTTTTATCTCCTATCAGCGGCACGCAGCGGGGGCGCGTCAATTGCTCGGCCCACTCCATATGCTGCTATCCCACCCACGTACCCATCCCATCTACCCCCTTTCCCCTTTCCACTGTCCTCTCCCCCTTCCTCCCTTCTCCCTCCCCGCTTCCCCCATCCCCATCCCCCATCCCCCCTCCCTCCCCCTGCCCTACTCTCCCACCCCCCCAGAGGGCGAGGACATGGCGATTGAGATGCGGCGGCCGGATTTTGATCTGCTGTCAGCGGCGTGCACGGGGGACGCGTCGGAGCAGGGCCTGCTCAAGTTCGTGGAGCCGCTGCGGTCGGCGCGCGAGGTGCGCGACCTCTACGCCAAGCTGTTCGAGATCAAGTTCTCGAGCGTCAACAAGTGGCAGCTCTCCATCCACGTGTACGAGGGGGGGAGGGATAGTGGGGGAATAGTGAGGGTGGGTGGAGGGGCGTGGGAGTGGGGAGGGGGGGAGCGGAATTGGGAAAGGGGGGGTGAATGTGAAAGGGGATAGGGATGACAGGGGCCTGTACGCCAAGCTGTATCAAGTTCTCGAGCGACAACAAGTGGCAGCTCTCCATCCACGTGTACGGGACAGGGACAGGAGGGGGGGGGAGGGGGAGGGGCGAGGTGGGGAAGGGGGGAGAGGGGGGTGGGGGTTGGGAGGTGGAGGGTGAGTGTGGAAGGGGGTAGGGATGATAGGGACCTGTACGCGAAGCTGTGTGAGATCAAGTTCCCCAGCGTCAGCAAGTGTGGGGGTGGGGGTGGGGGTGGGGTTGTTGCATGCACGAAAGGGGAGGGGATGAAGGGGCAGGCCGTGCAGGGGAACGGAAATTTGGGGGACAGTGAGGGTAGACGGAAGGGGGAGGGGGGGTGTTGCATTGGGACTCGACGTTTCCTTATGCCCTTCCCTCCTGACATAAAAAACTCGAGAAATAATGCTACTTCATCCGTACCCCACCTCCCCCCCCTTTCATTGCTCCCCCTCCACCCTTCGTGCCCTTCCCAGCCCTTCCCTTCGTGCATGCCCCCTCATTTCTTCCCTCATTTCTTCCCTCTCATGCTTCCCCCTCGTCTCTTCCTCTGTCTCGTCCCCTCCCCCCCCCCCGCCCCCCGCCCCCCTCGCTCTCCCCTCCGCAACCCTTCCCCTCAAACCAGCCAATCCGCACAGGGCCGTCTCCCCCCAGTGCTGGTGATGAAGGGCGCACCGGAGCGCGTGCTAGCGCGCTGCTCGTACATCATGGTGAACGGGCAGGTGTTTGACCTCAACAGCGAGAGCCGCAAGTACTTCCAGGACGCGTACGAGCAGCTGGGCGGGTACGGCGAGCGCGTCCTCGGCATGGCCTTCCGCGACCTCGAGGGCTTCGGAAACGACTTCATGGTGCGGGGGGGAGGGTAGGGTGGGGGGGGGGGGGGGAGGGGGGGGGGAGGGGGAGGGTAGGGTGGGGTGGGTGGGGCGGCGTGATGATGGGTGGTGGTGGGAGTGTTGATTTGCGGTGGGAGCATTGATTGATGGTGGGGAAGTGGGAGCTGGGGTGGTTGTTGCCAAGTGTTAAGGGGAATGGATGGTGGCAATCGTGAATGGTTCAGTTCAGATCACATGGAGACTAGGGCATCCGTTGCGGCTTGTTGTATACATTGCCGAAACGGTTGAAACCAGAAGCGCAGGGGCCTCTAGTAGACTGATTACGAGCCATGCAGACAGTGGTCTGTAGCCATAGTTGCTTTTGAGGCGCCTCAAATGTAGCCATAGTTGCCCACCCTGCTACAATCCCATCTGTCCGTCTGCAGCCTAACCCATCACGTCATCCCTCCCTCTCTCCTCAAGCGGTCCTTTGTATTCATGGGAACCTGGCTACATACATGCCTAGGCATACAAGGTGAGTGCATGCGTGCACCTCATCCCTCCCTCCCTCCCTCCCTCCCTCCCTCCCTCCCTCCCTCCCTCCCTCCCCTCCCCTCCCCTCTTATCCCCTCCCCCACCCTCTCCCCTTTTCCACAATGTTTTAGGCCCCTTAAAAGAACCCCTCCCTCACCCTGTCTCCCCCCTACCCCCTCTCCCCTCTCCCCCCCTCTCAGTTCGCGAGCAAGCTGGAGCGAACTTCCCAACAGAGGGCCTCACGTTCGTGAGCATGGTGGGCGTGCTGAACCTGCCATGGGAGGGCGTCCCCGAGGCCGATTCTGGGACGACTCAACAGCCCTCTCCCACCCTCTTCCCCCTCTTTCCCCCACTTTCCCCCTCTTCAACCCTCTTCCCCCCTCTTCCCCCCTCTTCCCCCCTCTTCCCCCCTCTCCCCCCCTCTCCCCTCCTCTCCCCCCCTCTCCCCCTCTCTCCCCCCCTCTCCCCCCCCCTCCCCCCTCTCCCCCCCTCTCCCCCCCTTCCCCCCTCTTCCCCCCTCTTCCCCCCTCTCCTCCCCTCTCCCCCCTTGGCCCCCACAGTTTGCGAGCAAGCCCGAGCCAAACTTCCCAACGGACGGCCTCACGTTCGTGGGCATGGTGGGCATGCTGGACCCGCCAAGGGAGGGCGTGCCCGAGGCCGTGGCGCAGTGCCGCCGCGCCAAGGTGAAGGTGCTCATGGTGACCGGCGACCACCCCATCACCGCCAAGGCCATTGCGCTCAAGGTAAGCGGAAGGGAAGGGGGAAGTGGGGGGCAGGGGAGGGAAGGGGGAAGGGGTTGGGGGAAGGGAAGAGGGAAGGGGGAAAGGGTTGGGGGAAGGGAAGGGAAGGGGGAAGGGGTTGGGGGAAGGGAAGGGAAGAGGGAAGGGGGAAGGGGTTGGGGGAAGGGAAGGGAAGAGGGAAGGGGGAAGGGGTTGGGGGAAGGGAAGGGAAGAGGGAAGGGGAAGGGGTTGGGGGAAGGGAAGGGAAGAGGGAAGGGGGAAGGGGTTGGGGGAAGGGAAGGGAAGAGGGAAGGGGAAGGGGTTCGGGGAAGGGAAGGGAAGAGGGAAGGGGGAAGGGGTTGGGGGAAGGGAAGGGAAGAGGGAAGGGGGAAGGGGTTGGGGGAAGGGAAGGGAAGAGGGAAGGGGGAAGGGGTTGGGGGAAGGGAAGGGAAGAGGGAAGGGGGAAGGGGTTGGGGGAAGGGAAGGGAAGAGGGAAGGGGGAAGGGGTTGGGGGAAGGGGGAAGGGGTGCAGGGAAAGATAAGTGCAGGGAAGGGGATATCTTGAGGCTGAATGCCTGTATGGTGCGTGTGTGCAGGTGGGCATCATGGACCAGGCGAAGGTGGACGACGGCAGTGCGTGTGTGGTGACGGGCGACGACATCCGCCAGTGGGGCGACCTCACCCCCAGGGACGAGCAGCTCAAGTGGGACGAGGCTCTCTCGCACGACCAGGTGCGTGCGTGCTGGACTGCTCCTCTGCTCCCATGCCTGCTTCTTGCTCCTTCCCCTCTCTCCATGTGCCTTTGAGTTTCGACGTGCTCCTTATATCTCCCATGCACCTCACCGTGATTGTGAATTGCCACCTTGTTCTCTTGTCTCCCTATTTCATCACCCCCATCCCCTGCCCCTTGTGCTCTCTTCCCCCCAACCCCCCCTTCCGATCCCTTGCTCAAGTGTTCTCCCCTTTCCCTCCTTTCCCCTCCCTCCCTCTCCCCCTCGGTATTCCCTCTCTCCCCTGCGCCAGCTCGTCTGCTTTTGAGTCGACTCAAAAGCAGCCCTCTCCCCCTCAATATTCCCTCTCTCCCCCTCAATATTCCCTCTCTCCCCCTCAGTATTCCCTCTCTCCCCCTCAGTATTCCCTCTCTCCCCCTCAGTATTCTCTCTCTCCCCCTCAGTATTCTCTCTCTCCCCCTCAGTATTCCCTCTCTCCCCCTCGCCAGCTCGTGTTTGCGCGAGTGTCCCTGACGCACAAGCTGCTGATAGTGGAGAACTGCCAGCGCCTCTCCATTCTTGTGTTTCAGCAGCACAGAGTCTCAAGCAGTCCTCGCTCTCTCTCTCCTCTTCCCGTCCCCCACTCTCTCTCTCCCCCTACCAGCTCGTGTTTGCGCGAGTGTCCCCCGCGCACAAGCTGCTGATAGTGGAGCACTGCCAGCGCCGCGGTGAGATAGTGGCTGTCACGGGCGATGGAGTCAACGACGCGCCCGCACTCAAGAAGGGGGATATTGGCATCGCCATGGGCATTGCAGGGTATGCCCGGACTTGTGACGTGCCTGCCTGCATGTGATGGTGCCTGCATGTGATGGTGCCTGCATGCATGCGATGGTGGATGGTGTGCGGGTGTGTCTTGGGTGTTGCTGCTGGGTAGCCTTGTCCAGCTACACACACACACGCTTTTCTCCTTAAGCAGACACGTACGTGTCAAGGGACAATCATGAGCGGTGTGCAGGAGGGCCTGCCTGCTCATCTTCAACAACCCTCTCACTCCCACACTTCGGCCCGGCCACCATTCTTCCCCCCCTTCCCAGTTCCCACGCACACTCGCGCTTCCCTTCCTCTCCCCCTTTCCAGCAAGGGCGTGTGGAAGGAGGCGGCGGATATGATCCTCATGGACGACAATTTCGAATCCATTGTGGGCGGTGTTGAGGAGGGCCGCCTCATCTTCGACAACCCTCTAGCTCCCTTGCTTCTGCCCCCATTCTCTCCCCTCCAGCTCCCACACAAACACACCCTCTCCAACCCTCGCTCCGTGCCTTGTACCTGCCCAAAAATAGAAAAACCCGATCCCCCCTCTATTTCCACACGCCACCTCCCAATCCAACCTTCCCCCCTTTCCAGCAAGGACGTGTCGAAGGAGGCGGCGGATCTGATTCTGGTGGACAGCAACTCACTGTTTCGCCTCCCCTGCCTTCCTCTCCCCCCCCCCCTCCCCCCCCCCGCCTCCTCCCCCCGCCTCCTCCCCCGACTTCACCCCCTCTCCCCCTCACCAGCAAGGACGTGTCCAAGGAAGCGGCAGATATGATCCTCATGGACGACAACTTCGCGTCCATCGTGAGCGGCGTGGAGGAGGGCCGCCTCATCTTCGACAACCTCAAGAAGACCATCTGCTACGCGCTCACCGTCAACATCCCTGAGCTCGTGCCATACCTTGTCAACGTCCTGGGCGGCGTGCCCCTGGCTCTGTCCACCGTGCTCATGCTCGCCATCTGCCTGGGGACCGACATGCTGCCGGCTATTTCTCTAGCTTATGAAGAGAAGGTGAGCGGAGTGCAAGACAAGGGAGGTGTGGGGGGGAGTGGGGGGAGGGTGGGGATGGAGACAGGGGCGTGAGGTTGCGAGGCACCTGAGAAGCAACCATCTGCTACGCGCTCACCGTCAACATCCCCGAGCTCGTGCCCTACCTCGTCAACGTGCTGGGCGGCGTGCCGCTTGCGCTATCGACTGTCCTCATGCTCGCTATTCGCCACGGGACCGACATGCTGCTGGCTATTTCCCTGGCGTATGAGGAGAAGGTGAGTGAGCGCTCAGGGGGGGGAGGGAGAGGGGGGGGGAGTGGGTTGTTGATGGTGGTGGTGCCAAGCAGTGCAGCGCCGGACATGGGTTCGTTCCCTGCTTCTCATCCGTTTCCTCTCACGTCTTCTCCCCGCCCAACTCTTCCCTCCTGCTTCATTCCCTCTTCCCATCCTGTCTTCTTCCGTCTCCTCTTCTCCATTCGGCCCCTTCCCATCCCACCCACACCCGTCCTCCCACCCTTTCCCCCAGGCACCCCAACAGATCTGTTGCATCATGGAGCGCCCCCTGCGCAGCGCACGGATGGCTTATGAGTCGACCCAATAGCCATGGCACAGCACATCCGAGCACCCACATCCGTCCATCTCCCTTCCCCCCGCCCCCTCTCCTCCCAGCCCATGGGAGTCTGACATCATAGAGCGCCCGCCATGCAACGTTTCCAAACGCGCCTAGGTGCTTCAAAGCTATCTTCAGCGCCTCAAAGTTCCACACTCCCCCTTTTCTCCCCTCTCCCCTCCTCCTCCCCCCCCCCCTTCCCCCCCCACATTCCCCTTCCGCCCACAGGAGTCGGACATCATGGAGCGGCCGCCCCGCAATGCGCGCAAGGACCACCTGGTGAGCTGGAAGCTGATCAGCCACGCGTACCTGCAGATTGGCGTCGTGCAGACGCTCGCCGGCTTTCTCGCGTACCTTGCTGTCTTCAACGACTACGGCTACCCGCCACGCGTGAGTGGCAGGGGGGATGCGTGGGAGTGGGGCATGGGGATGATGGGGAGGGTTGGAATGCATCGCTGTTGAGTCCCGCTGCATGCATTGCTGTCCTCAGCGGCTGGTTACCGGCATTGCGTGAGTTGCGAGGGGGATGCGTGGGAGTGGGCCGAAGGGGGTGCATGCATCCCCATGCCCCACTCCAATGCATCCCCATACCCTTGCGAGAGGGATGCGTAGGAGTGGGGCGAAGGGGGTGCATGCATCCCCATGCATGGGAGTGGGGCATGGGGATGCATGTGAGTGGGGCATGGGATGCATGTGAGTGGGACACTGTGGCTCGTCGGCTCTCCCCTTCCATCCCTCCTCTGCCCTCCCATATCCCCTCACCCCTCCCTCTCCTCCTCCCCCCCCTCCACCTCCCTCCCCCTCCTTTCCTCCCCCAGGTGCTCCCATCGATCGGCTCTGACTTTGCAACCTCCTCCATCATCTGCTCGCTCAACGCCAACCTCGAGCCCGAGCGCTGCGGGTACGGGTGCGCGTCCCCCGACTACACGCTCATCCCCACGCCCGCCAACTCGCCCTCCTCCGTCGCCTACTGCCTCTACGGGTGCCCCGCGCCCGCGCCCGGCACGGCGGTGGTGGACCCCTTCAGCGAGTTCAGCCTGGGCGGCTTCAGGGGGCAGAAGTACTGCACTCTCACGTGCTACTCGCTGCTCGAGGACTTTCCCGGGGGCACCCTGCCCTCGCAGTGCTCTGCGGCGGATATCAGCCAGGTGGGGGGAGGGTCGGATGTGGAGGGGCAATGGCAGGGATGGACGGATGGATGGATGGATGGATGGATGGATGGATGGATGGATGGATGGATGGTGGGGGCAGAGGGATGGTGGGGCAGCAGCAGAGGTGGATCGTCGGTGGGGCAGAAGAGCAGAGGGATGGTGGGCTTTGGGGTTGGGTGGGTGGGTGGGTGGTGACTTGATTCATGTATCCCGTTTGCCTCATCTACCCTGACCCCTCTCCCTCTTGCCAGCCACCCACCTTCCCCTCCCCTCCCGCCTCACTCGTCTCTCCCTCCCAACCTTCTCCTTTCTCCCTCGCACTCTCTCCCCCATCCCTCCCCCCTCTCCCCATTCTCCGCCCCCTCGTCCACAGCTGGGGTTCCCTAACAGGCAGCCCCTGGACCCGCCTGCAGGGCCGACGGGGGGCATGTACTGGTGGGCGGGGCGAGCACAGACGCAGGCGAACCCAGAGTATCAGCGGCAGGTGCTGCTGTACGCGCAGTCGGCGTACTTTGTTGCCATCATCGTGACGCAGTGGGCCAACCTCATCGTCTGCAAGACCCGCCGCCTCTCTGTCTTCCAACAGGTGTGCCCTCTGCTGCTGCTGCTGCTGCCGATGCCAATGCTGCTGCCGCTGTACACCATTATCACCTTCCCTTCCCTCCCTTCCCTGCTCTCCTCATCACCACCACTACCACAACCATCGCTGTTGTGCCCCATTTCCCGTGCCTTTCCCGCCCCCTATCCTCTCCCACCTTACCTCCCTCTTCCCCCTCATCCCCCCGCCTTCTCCCTCCCCCCCCCCCCCCCCCCCCCGCGCCCCGCCCCCGCCCCCGGAAACCGCCCATTGGCAACAGGGCATGTGGAACTGGGTGCTCAACTTCTCGCTGGTGTTTGAGACGGGCATAGCGGCGGCGCTGCTGTACGTGCCGTTCCTGCAGGAGGTGTTTTCGGTGCGCCCCATCAGCATCGTGTACTGGTTCATCGGGGTGCCCTTTGCCCTCACCATCCTCCTCATTGGCGAGATCCGCAAGCTCTTCATCCGCCGCTTCCCAGGTGAGTCCCACGCTCACTGGTGCACCAAGACCACCACCACCACCACCACCACCACCACCACCACCTCTAATGCCATCACCATTGCCATCGACATCACCATTGCCATCACCATCACCATCACCATCATGCTGACATGCTCCTTGGTGCCATGCACCTTGTTTCCGTCCCGTGTTAATTTCTCCAGGTGGATGGATGGACCGCTGGACCTCCTGGTAGACACACTGCACATCACATAACGGCCGTGCACTGTGCAACCTCGGCTGTCCAACCTCTGCTGTCCAACCTCTGCTGTCTCATCACATCAGTCCGAGTCGATTGTGGGAGCAAGACGTTCCAGCCAAGCATATTTTGTGTGTGCCTCTGCAGCTTTCCTGTGCTACTACTAAACTGTATGTTGTGCCCTTGCCCCATAAGTTATGGCCATGCATGCGATGCGACACCTGGTGTGACCTTCGACATGCACCTGGTAGTCTATAGCCATGCGTGCGACTCCCAAAAGCAGCACAAGCTGCAACCGTAGTGCCACATACGTGTACCCTGTTTGTCCGCCTGGTTTCATTAGTGCTTGGCCTTCAGGTATTTCATTGCGCACATTGTTATACCAGTATTATTTTACGTTCAACTTCATTAGACGGTTAAGGTGTTTGTGCGTTATTCCATGTGTGAATTCCTTCTATACCCCGTAAACCCCATCGAAACAATGAGAGGCCCGCTGAACCGCTTCGAACCACACCAAGCCTCCGTGCGAATCTCCGCTGTTACCAGTTCGGTGTGATGTTCGCCATTTCCCTCCCGCCACCTCCCGCCACCTCCCTCCCTCACGGCGTGTCCTGCGCGTGCCATTTTTTTTTGTCAAAACCCTACCCAACCGTTTTTTATTAATTCTTTATCGATCCTTCTGACCCGTGAGACACCTTACCCAACCGCATCAAACGTACGTGTTGGACACTTACACACCCCACAGTCCACTCCATTCGCTCGATTCCCTTCCCCTCCTCCACTCCATCCGCTTTACTGTCCGCCTCCGTACGCAACGCGACTTCTTTCGCGTTAGGACCACTCCTCACGAAATAACGTCACCTTTCTTTTACGACCCTCTTTCGGCTGCACATCCAACGCGGCTCTGACAGCCACCCACGGCCTCCCATCCGGCGGTCACCGCCGATGGCGCCGTCCGCGGCGCTGCGTCGTTCTCTGTGCGGCGTGGTGGTGGTGTCCGTGGTGCTCCTGCTGCTCCTGCCTTCCGTGCGCCACGCGACCACTAACAACAAAAACAGCAGCAACACTCCGTCTTTCGCGCGCGGCGAGTTTCAGGTGAGTTCCCCGCAGTTGCTGCGACGTCTCGAAATCGTATCCGGTGCGAGCACAGCACCGCAGCGCCGGTGGAGGAGATTAAACCTGGGCATTACGACGGCCGCTTGTTTAAGGCGTGCCGTCATCTGCGACGCCGCGCGGTGACTTCCAGGGGTGGGTAGGTACTGGAAGAGGTCAAATCCCAAGTTAAGTAGTTACATTTTGAGACGTGTCAATACTTCCGCGGGTGGGTTCTGGAAGAGATCGAATCTCCGGCCATGGCGCGGCTGTTACCTAGCGTCACACACATCGCCGGTTCGCGCTATGGCGGAACAATAGTGGCTCCCTCGTCTCTAATCGTCTCTAGTCATCCTCTCCCCCCCATCTCCTCTCTCCCCCGCATCTCCTCTCTCCCCCGCATCTCCTCTCTCCCCCCCATCTCCTCTCTCCCCCGCATCTCCTCTCTCCCCCGCATCTCCTCTCTCCCCCGCATCTCCTCTCTCCCCCGCAACTCCTCTCTCCCCCGCATCTCCTCTCTCCCCCGCATCTCCTCTCCCCCCCCCATCTCCTCTCTCCCCCGCATCTCCTCTCTTCCCCACCTTCCCCCCCTCTCCCTCCCCGCAGTCGTGCAGCGGATGACAGCTCAACCGCCTCCCCGAGGTCCGCCGCTTCTTCGAGGTCAGCGCCCGCCCTGCGGCTCTGCTTGCCCGCCCTGCGGCTTTGCTTGCCCGCCCTGCGGCTCTGCTTGCTGGCCCTGCGGCTCTGCTTGCCCGCCCTGCTGCTCTGCTTGCCCGCCCTGCAGCTCTGCTTGCCCGCCCTGCTGCTCTGCTTGCCCCCCCTGCGGCTCTGCTTGCTCGCCCTGCTGCTCTGCTTGCCCACCCTGCGGCTCTGCTTGCCCGCCCTGCGGCTCTGCTTGCCCGCCCTGCGGCTCTGCTTGCCCGCCCTGCGGCTCTGCTTGCCCGCCCTGCGGCTCTGCTTGCCCGCCCTGCGGCTCTGCTTGCCCGCCCAGCGGCTCTGCTTGCCCGCCCTGCGGCTCTGCTTGCCCGCCCTGCGGCTCTGCTTGCCCGCCCTGCTGCTCTGCTTGCCCGCCCTGCGGCTCTGCTTGCCCGCCCTGCGGCTCTGCTTGCCCGCCCTGCGGCTCTGCTTGCCCGCCCTGCTGCTCTGCTTGCCCGCCCTGCGGCTTTGCTTGCCCGCCCTGCGGCTCTGCTTGCCGGCCCTGCGGCTCTTCTTGCCCGCCCTGCTGCTCTGCTTGCCCGCCCTGCAGCTCTGCTTGCCCGCCCTGCTGCTCTGCTTGCCCGCCCTGCGGCTCTGCTTGCCCGCCCTGCTGCTCTGGTTGCCCACCCTGCGGCTCTGCTTGCCCGCCCTGCGGGTCTGCTTGCCCGCCCTGCGGCTCTGCTTGCCCGCCCTGCGGCTCTGCTTGCCCTCCCTGCGGCTCTGCTTGCCCGCCCTGCTGCTCTGCTTGCCCGCCCTGCTGCTCTGCTTGCCCGCCCTGCTGCTCTGCTTGCCCGCCCTGCTGCGCTGCTTGCCCGCCCTGCTGCTCTGCTTGCCCGCCCTGCTGCTGTGCTTGCCCGCCCTGCTGCTCTGCTTGCCCACCTGCGCCCACTGCCCACTGCCATGGTCGCAATACATGACCTCCCTCCTGTTGGCTGCCCGTCGAGAATCCCCTCATTCACGCTCTCAAAAAATCACGCTCTCAAAAAATCACGCTCTCCGCATTCACGCTCTCCACATTCACGCTCTCCACATTCACGCTCTCCACATTCCCTCCTCGCTCATGTACCCTCCCTCCCTCCCTCCCTCCTTCCTTCCCTCCCTGCCTCTCCACCCTTGGCTCCCACCCACCCCCTCTCTCGCCACATATCCGGCTGGAATCACACAGGAGCGGGTGGAGGCCAACGTGTACGAGTCGCTGACCATCAAGTGAGTCCTTGGGGCTTTGCTTTGCTGGCAGCCTAGTGAGTGAGTGGCTGGCTCGCAGTCGAGTGGCTCATTGACAGTGGAATGGCTATGAGGCCAACATGTGAGCAGGCACCGCAATTGCATGATAGGGATGTTGACTGGTTCCGCTCATGGCAACCAGTCACAGGGAAGAAGTCGTGGCGTCACCCTGACACAGCCGACACAGCCGACACAGCCGACACAGCCGACACAGCCGACACAGCCGACACAGCCGATACAGCCACCACGGCCACACGTTGCAAGCTGTCACTGCAGCTTTCCTACTGCTCCGTCATCACCCCTAGCTCCATACTCCCCTACCTCCATTTTCCCTCTTCCCCCGCCTTCGCCTTGCTCCCTTGCACATTCTCCTCCTCTCCCCATCGTCCGCCTGCACTGCCTGCGTGTGCCCCCCCCCCCTCTCTCTTTCCCCCCTCCCCCCCCCCCCTCGGGCAGCTACATCCATGGCAAGGTGCCGGATCTGGTGCTCTTCGACTCGCACGACCGGGAGGTGGCTCGCGTCGATGTCTCGCCCAAGTCCTTCGATGAGGTGCCCCCTGCCAACCTTGTGCCCCCTGCCAACCTTGTGCCCCCTGCCGTGTGCCTCCTCCTGCCGTGTGCCTCCTCCTGCCATGTGCCTCCTGCCTGCGCATACGCCAGTTGTCACCATGCGTCTGCATCTGTCACACCTTACTCTCAACGTTCCCTTCACATCCCCCCCTCCTCTACCATCCCTCACCCGCTCTTCTGTCCTCATCCAGCTCGCCTTGTTTGGCACCCTTCGCTTCGTTCGGCTGTGCCTTGCCACTAGTTTGCTGCCGGTTTGAGATAGAGAAGCTTGTGCATTCCATGGCACCATGGGGCTCAAGCGAGGCGACTTCGTATTCAACTCTATTCGACTCAGAAAGTCACTTCTCTTCCTCTCTTTCACTCTCGCCACTGCCACTTGTGCGCTGCAGATTGAGAAGCTTGTGCAGTCCATGGGGTTCAAGCGCAAGAGGGTGCTGCCTCCACTAGAGGATGATGATGATGTTGCCATCAAGTAGTCCATGCCTTGCACAGCGCACTGTGATGTGGAGTGGTGAATCTTACAGCATCATGGCAGCATCGCATGGCATCATGGCAGCATCACATGGCATCATGACAGCAGCAGGCTCAACCGCCACAGGCGAGGCTTGCTGCTTGAACCTCCAGCCATGTGTATGCATTGTTGTGTGCTGTGTGCATTGCCCTGCCATGTATCCTGTGCATGTGCCATACTGCCTTCTTGTGGTGCCTCTACAAGCGCTTTTATTCTATATTTCCAATCTCAAGGAATGTGTATAGTAAGCTGCGAAGATGGCTATCCACAGTGTATATGTTGGGAATCGGACTAAGCCGCATAGCGGGCAAGGTTAAAACCGTTGGCCCAAATTGCAGAATTTTGGGACCAACTTTATGTCGACTTATACCGTAACATTGCATGTATAGTTATAGGCTAGATAGGTTCATGCTCTTAGAGAGTACAAAACAAAACACATATATCACCCTGTATGGCTTCCTCGAGTTCACTTCGTTACTTTAGCATGGTATCACGCTAGGTAGGTCCCACCTGTCAACTTATATATACGGTTATATGTAGAAGTTATAGGCTACATAGATTTGTGTTCTTAGAGAGTACAACTCCAACCCTATGTCTCCCCTGTACTCTCTTGTTCTACTCATTCTCGTATTCTAACATGGTATCATAGTAGGTTAGGTCCGCCCACCCGCTTCCGCCCCTCGCCCTAGCCTACTGTCAAAAGACTAGCTTAGCTAGGAAGCCATAGAATGGCACAAGGTTGAGCTAGGAGCTAGGAGGAGCCATGAGAATGGCGAGAGGTTTTAGGTGCTAGGAAAGTTGAGGAGAGAAAAGAGAGAGTTGGATTAGAAGAGAGGGGAGTACAAGGAGGGGTTTGTACCCCCTACAGAAAGGTTCAGTAACAACCTACCAAGCCTATATTAAATTATAACTTATATAATTTGAACACACCCCCTAGGCTTGGTAGTCACATGCCCACACACACCCACACCCCCTAACCTAGCACCCCCATTCCAGCCACAGTGACAGCGACTCTAGGTCGGTCGACCCCACGGTGCGTGAGGCGGCGACGTCGACCGCAGGGGCTGCGGCGGCGACGGCGGCAGCGGCGGCAGTGTCGACAGCGGCGGCGGCGGCGGCGTGCGGCTGCGTGGCCCCGACGCAAGCGGCGACAGCGGCGGCGGCGGCGGCTTCGACAACAGCGGCAGCGGCGGCGGCACCCGCACCTCTCGGTGACGTGGCCAGGCCCCGCGACGGTGGGACGGCCGGCGGGAGTCAGCCGTCGTCTGCGGAATGGAAGAGGGCACAAGGGAAGGAGGGGGGTGG